TGAATGCTAATCCTGGTGCAGGAACTGGCAGAACAAGGAGACCCAGGATCTGCTTGGCCTACTCTGGCCTGTGTGGGACAGTGCCTTCTCTTTCCACTGGCCGTACCCATGGCCTGTGCCCCATGGCCTTGCAGCTTTGGTTGTTCTCATTTGTAAAGATGATAATCACATGTGTTCCTGCCCTCTGACATGCCAGTGTGAGTGAGCAAGGCCTCCTGAGGGAGGGGACTCTAGGTCTCTATCTCTGTGGCTGTTTACCCCACTGTGGTCTGGGTCACCTGGACACCTGTAAGTAGCACAGAGTTTGATTTTCTCAGGCAGAGAGGGTGTAAACCACCTGAACTTGAGTCACCTTTGACTGGTAATGGTAAACAAGGGGAGATGGATGCGTTTGTTCTAGCCTTAACTTGTGATGCCTGGCCCCGAGGCTCCAAGGCCCTGGTGTGTTGGTGCCATGGAGCTGGAATTTCTTGGCCAACATGGGCCCTGCAAGTGTGGCAATATAGCAAACACTTCTTGCTCATTATTCACAGTTAAGACCTCATATTTTGTATCTTTTTTCTTGAGGAAGAAGGAAAGAACAGTGGCTCCTTTGATGCCCCAACAGACCTCCCCAGGCCTGGTCCCTCCTGCCCTATTGGGGACCACATTTTATTCCTCTGTGTGTGGCTGTGTGTGTGAGCTCTTTGGCTTCTCTGGGATGTGTTCCTGTTCCTTCCTTCCTTCCTATCAGCTGTCTGTGGCCCTGCAGAGCCTGGCTCATTCCTCCTAACCATGTGGCAGTTCCAGCCCCACTCTGCCCTGCCAGTTTCCATGTCATATTGATGAGCACATGACTTAGTTAAGGTTTTTTGTGCTTGAATGTCTTGTGGATTTCACCATGCACATCTGTGATCAAAGTGTGCTTACATTATAACTAGGATTTTAAAAGTTCACTTGGCTGGTGTTCTAAGTATTTATCTTGTGATTTGAATGGTCATTACACCTTCTCAGTTGGCCAGACAACACAGATACTCTGGTTTTTATCAATGTGAAATACGGATAGCAAAGTACTGCAATTGCAGATGTACGAGCAGGTGAGTGTGACCTACTGCTAAAATTGCACCATCAATTTTAAGTCTCTCTTTTTTCGAGGTATCGGGGTAGAACTCAGGGCCTCACACTTGCTAGGCAAATGCTCTACCTTTCCAGCTCTGTTCCCAGCCCTCTTTTTTTTTTTTTTTCATAGTACTGGGGTTTGAACTCAGGGTCTTGTGTTTAACCAGACAAGAACTTTACCACTTGAGCCATGCTTCCAGTTCCTGTTTTTTTGAATTTTGTTTTTGAGAAAGGTCTCACTAACTTTGTCTGGGCTGTCTCTGCCTCCCAAGTAGCTGGGATTATAGGTATAAACCACCACACTCAGTTTCTAGTTCTCTTTTTGAAGTTAAGAAACATTGATTCCATGAATAACTAAGTGAAATTAACAAGATTATCATTATTTAGAGATAGAGTCTTGCTCTGTGTATAGCCCAGGCTGGCCTCGAATTCCTGATCTCCTGCCTCAGCCTCCTAAGTGCTGGGAGATATTTTTGTTTTGTTTTCTTGTGAAATGGTCTTACTGTATAGTCCAGGCTGGTCTCAAACTTGAGATTCTCTTGCCTCAGCCTTCTAAGTGCTTGGATTACGGATATGCACCATCATGCCTAGCTAAAAAAAAATTGATGTGTCAGTAGTGTTGAATTCCAAGTTACTTGCCAAAAAGTAACATAAAGCTCTAATATAAAAAAAATTATGTATCTTGAACTGGGCATGGTTGCTCATGCCTGTCATTCCAGCTTACCAGGAGGATGGTGGTTCCAGGCCAGCAGAGGAAAAAAGTTATCCAGACTCCATCTTGAAACAAAAAATTCACTAGGTGTGGTGGTTCACATCTGTAATCCCAGAACTTGGGAGGTAGTGGCAGAAGATGGTAAGTTTGAGGACAGCCTGAGTTACGTTGTGAGACTCCCAAAAAAAAAAAGATTTGCCAGCTGACAACACAATTTTTTCTTTTTTGGGGGGGGAGGGGGTACTGGGGTTTGAACACAAGGAGCTCTTATCACTTGAGCCAAGTCTTAGCCTTTGCTTTTAGGTTATTTTTCCCAATAGGGTCTCACGTTTTTGCTTGGGGCTGGCCTGGACCATGATCCATGTAGAAACTACTTACTCGTTGAGATAGGGTCTTGCTAACTTTTTGCCTGGGTTGGCCTCAAACCCAATCTCTGCCTGCTGAGTAATTGGGATTACAGAAGTGAGCCCCTGTGCTCAGCAAGTTCTCCTTGTTCTTAACAGTTTCATTGAGAGGATGTCCCCATATCATCGGGGTGGCTTTTGTGAGTAGTGCAGCAGTCACTTTCAGGGCATTTAGTTGTGCAGTGTTACCATTACCCTACTCTGGCACTTGCCTCCATTTTCTGATATTATCACCAATGCCACAACAGACACCCTGTCCCATGTCCCAGACCTTTCAAATAATTGTAGAAAACACAAGTACAGCACTAAAGAAGTAAAATTCCCCTTCTTACATTTTAATCTAGAGACCGGTTTATATCCTTTGTTCCTAAGGAGTTCATCAGGCCAAAGGTTGTGGTGAAGATTCCAGCAGAGGAGGAGCGGGAGGAGGCTGCTCAGCAAGCACTTGGGGGCTAGAGGAGAGGTCAAAAGGCCTTCCTGGAAGGGACAGAGGTGGAGGATCTAGGTGCACTTGTGGGGAGGAACTGCACAAGCAAAGGGGACAGCGAACACCAAGGTCCTGAGGCGTGAGTGGGTTTGGCAGGCCTGGGTTACATAGGGCCATGCAGTTGTGGGGAGGGCTGTGGGACTTACATGATCTGTCTGGGAAAAGCGGTGGGGCTTGGTTGGAAGTGTGGAGCCTGGTGAGGTAAGGAGGCGATAGTGACCATAGAGACACAGGAGAACCATCCCTGAGGAGAAAAGCACGTCATCCAGCCCAGTGCAGTGCAGCGCAGAAAGCCTGGACTTTGGTCCCTGCCTCCTGGACTCCACTTGAGTTTTTTTTTTGGCAGTATTTTGGGCACATCCTTTCAGTCCCTTCTCTGGGTCTCACAGCTTGGGTTACACACATCTCAGTGTGTGCAGGCACCCCTCCAAACAGGCTCCTGGAGTTCCCTCAGTGTGTTCTTAATGCTGCTAACATACTCTGTGACCATCCTTCCAGTGGTCACAGGTCTTTCTGTGTCATGTTGGTGTGACTGTTTTATGGACTGCTGAATGGCATTCCAAAGCATCTGTTAAAACCTTTTTTAAGTTGGTGCTGCTGAGTTTTTTCTTTGTTGTCTTGCTGTAGTTGGTTATCTGGTTCCCGGTCTGTGTGGTGGTTAGCATCGGTTAGGCCTCTCCCTGCTCCTCCCTGAAGTCCCAGGGCAGCTGGACTGGACTCCTGACTCTGGATGTCTCCCTAGGGAGGAGTTGCCTGGCCGCCTTTGTGGCTTTGAGGCTGTGGGCCTCAGGAAGGGCACAGATCCATGCTGCTTGAGAAGCCCAGAATTCCTACTTGGGGCCCTAGGATGGACCCTTACAGGCTCAGCTACCCGGAAGTCCCTGTTTCTCATACATACCCTGAGCCTTCCTCACAGGCACAGTCACCATGGTTGCCTGGGTCTTCCCATGAAGAGCGCAGCAGGGCACTGTGGACAGTCATCAGGTCAGGAAGGCTGGGAGAGGCTGCACTCCTACTTTTCCTCCAGCACGGTAGTGGGCTCAGCTTTTGAAGCTGACAGGATCTGGAACCTTCCAGTCCTTTCCTCATAAGGGAACTGTGAATCCAGGGTCTGAGTGTGCCAGGGATGTGATGGGAACCCGTTACAGTCTCAGTCCTCATGACACAAATGAAATAACGCAGATCCACATGGAGTTTTAAACCATGGTCAAGTGCTCCAATCCCAGTAGCAGATTATCAGTGAATTTTTGTATGTTAGGTGATATGGTTAACTATAAAGAAGTCTTAACTCATGGTTGTTAGTTACCACAGCGAGCCGAATAAAATCAGACTCTTCAGAAGTTAACCTAATGGTACTGAAGTGTACTTTTAAATTTAACCTCCGTTAACTAAGCATTTTTTTCTTTGTGGTAGGGTCTACCTTCTGCTTTCCTGGAAAGGATAAAATTATATCATTTGAGTCCATTTCAAGTTTTTTGTTGTTTGTTTGCTTATTTTTTTTGCAGCTTAAAATTAAAATGTCAAGTAAAAAAAACAGACTGATCGGTGCCAAGATGAAAACGCTCATGGGGCTGGGATTGGGGGTGTGGTTCCCACAGTACGCGGGGCTTTCGCTTCTGTAACAAATGCCACCAGCAGTGGCTTAAAGCCACAGACTGTGTTCCCTTCAGTTACTGAGGCCAGAGGCAGAGATCAAACCCTCCTAGGGTCATGTTTCCCCAAAGGCTAGAGGGAGTCCTTCTTGCCTCTCTCTTAGCCTCTGGAGGTTTCCACCTGTTCCTTGGCATCCTAGTCTGGTATTCATATGCCTCCAGTCTCTGCTGGCATTGTCACCTGGCTTTCTCCCACTCTGTGCACCTGCGTCTAGCCTTCTTCTCTTTGTCTTATAAAGACACTGTTGCTGGATTTGGGGCCACCCTAATCTGCAGGACCACGTTAAACTAATTACACCTGCAATGACCCACTTCCAAACAAAGTCATGGGCGCAGGCATGGGGGTGGGACTGAGCAGGTCTCTATGGGAAACATGGTTCGGCCCTACAAAGGAAAGGACACTGGAGCTGTAAACTGGCGACTGAGTCTGTGAGCAGGGAGATGAGCCAGCAGGGAGTTGTGGCTGCTGGTGTGCAGAGGCTGGTGGGCTGCCTAGAAGGACCGAGGCCAGCATGCTGGGAACACAGGGCCGCTGCTGGCTGTACTCAGATGGAGCCTTTCTCCGCCTGGGCTTCTGGGCTGCACATGTTCCCACTGGGCCGAGATGAGCTCCATAACGTACAATTGTGTTTCCTTTTTTTAAACAGGAAACTACTTTGCTTCGCACTTCTTCATGGGAGGTGAGAAATTTGACACCCCCCACCCTGAAGGTTACCTCTTTGGAGAGAACATGGATTTGAACTTCCTGGGCAGCCGCCCAGTCCAGGTGAGTCTTGGGTAGGGTTGGCTTGTGGCCAACACTAGGTAGTGGAGGCCCCTGCCCAGCCATTTGTGAGGGTGAGCAGGCACCAAGGTGCCCCACACGGACAGGCAGATCTCCTCAGGGCTGTCCCTGAGCAGAGCTGGAAGTGGGCATGGGACTCAGAATGGTTGTGTCCTGGCGCTGCCCCTTAGAGCCCCGGCCCTTAGAGGCCGGGGCTGGGTCACTGAGGGACAGAGCAGCCAGTATTGGATGGGTGCATCCAGGCTGCATGGGCTGCAGAAAGTTGGAGCTGATTCCAGGGCTCTTGATGACTCTTTAAAAAGCAGCAAGAACATCCACACTCCAGAGAGCAGTGGCAAGAGATGTGATTCTGTGGAAAAGCATAAATGGCTGGTAGATATTTTTCACTAGTTGCCAGAAAAGGGCATGTTTAGGTATAGCTGCCCATACGTTCAGCACACATTTGGTACCTGCCGTGTGCCCAGGGCAGTCAAACCCTGCCCCTGTTCCCTAGTGGGGGGTGGAAAGTATGGGAGAAAGCACACAGCCCCCCATCATGGGCAAGCAGAAGGGGGTGTTAGGAGGCAGAGGGTTATGCATGGCTGGGGGTGGCTGGGCCAGGATGTGTTGGCTAGGAAGGTGGTGGTCTTGTTATGGGAGTCTCAAACAGAGACATGGGACACCAAAGCTTTTCAGGAAGCAGTATGTACTAGTGCGCTCAGCGGATTTACATCCAAAGGCTGAGCCCCGAGAACAAAAGGGTCTCACCTTGTATACCCTCACAAGCAGGTTACAGAAGCAAAAAGCAAGGTTTATCCCATATATTGTTCCATGCAACTCTGTTGGCTCCTTCACCCCCAGTGCTATGTGACCCTCTTCACGTTTAGATTTTTAAAGTTTTCTCTCTCTGCTATGCCATCCCCTCCCCCATGCTACTTTATCAGAACACAGACTTGCTTGTTTCTTTCTTTTTCTTTTCTGGCCCTCCTCTCTGCTATGTTTATTCCTCTCTTTGATGCTCAGACCCACCTAGGGCCAGAGAGCATTATCTTGATTTAGGGGTTTGTATTTTTATAGCATCATTACATCATTTTTTCCTCTCTATAGTGCACTCTATAATGGTCCTGATGGACCATAATACCAAGGAAACCAGGCAGGGTGACATCAAACATGGCTCCCAAGACAAGACTCATCACCCCGCTTTCCATGGCAAATGTAGCCTACATTGTTTTTTTACTCTGGGACTTTTAGTATCACTTACCAGCAACCTCGCAAACCTTGGGAGTATATGAGCCGATGTAACACCTGACCTGTTAGTGGGTGAGTGATACAAAGTATGGCTGTGTGGAGGTCCAACAATGGCTCTCTTATAACTCTCAGTACATGGGAGAAACCTTGCAAGGGCCAGCCCAAAAGGTAAGAGTCCAAGTGTCTCGCGAAAAGCAGGGCTGTGTCCCATATTCGAGCTTCTGCGGTGCATAGACTAGTCAGCTTCTGGAGTGACTAGAGCAGGTCTGTTGTCCTGTTGTTTGTGGTCCCCTGTTGTCTCCTGGGAAGTGGGGTCCTGCCAAGAAAGGGTGCATATGATCCGGAGGGTGGTCTTACATGGTAAGGCTAGGTCAGGGGCACTCCCAACTGGGAGAGGCTGACTTTACTTGGCTGTGGTGGATCCAGGGAGCAAATTTTTGCTACTTTAACTGCAGTGGGGATAGACAAGATAACAAAAAAAGGGCCCCTCCAATGGGGTTTTAATGCTTGGACATTTTTTTTTTTTTTTACCCAGATACTATCTTTCTTTTTTTTAAAACTGAGTAGAATTACCATGGCAACAATATTTTACCAGTATATATGTCCAAAAAATGTGTTGTTTAAAAAAAGTTAAAATCACCATCTTTAAGTATCAAAGGACATCTTTAGAGCCAGTAAAAATAGTCATTTTGTCTCTTTAAGTAGAAGACCCTATCTAAAAAATATGAGTTTGTGTCTGGAAGGGCTTTAATGCCAGATAGCCACACATGCATAAGAACCATTTTCTCAGTTCTCTTGGCCTTGGCTATTTTTGAGAGGTCTGGCATGAGTGACTCCATTTGAACTCTGACAGAATTCCCCCCTTATCTCCAAACTGCTTGTCTCTGAGCAGTCTCCTCTGAAGATCTTTCTCCCATCCAAGAACTAATCAGGCCCAACCTTGCTTAGCTTCCGAGACCAGACGAGATAGGGTACGTTCGGAGTGGTAAGGCCATAGACTGAAGATCTTTCTCGATTGGTCATTTTCTTCCCTCATGAGGACTTACTCTTTCCTGAATTTTGTTTGTTTGGTTTTGGTCCCACGTCGGGGCGGGAAATAATGAGCAGTTTAGGTGGGAGTCAGTGCCAACTAGACCCTTTTGGCCAAATTTAAGCAATAAATAAGCTTAGAAGGAGTGGCTCTCAGGCAGAGGGCTTTTAGACAAGGAGAATACAAAACAAAATCCAGCAAAAGCAGGTGTCTAAAAAGCTAACCTGGTTGACACATAAGCACTTGTTAGAGTCATTTTTTATGGACTTGATCGTAAATGCCCCAGAAGGATCAGAACTGTAATGACAAAAACTTAAAAGGGCCATGGTTAAAATTCTGATGGACAATTTAGCAACTAACAGAACAGTATCTCAGTACCATTAGCTTTTTGTTACTGTGTTTATCTAAATTTTATATTTTAGAAAGCTTGAAAAACATATACTTGAAGAAATATACATATACTTGAAAAACATAAATATATTTAGTATACAGGAACCAGCAACAGTATCACAGCTCTATAGTTCAGTTGTTGCTCTTGAAGTAAAACCTTAGATTTTTTTCATCAGTTGTGGGGAGAACAGTGTCAGTGACCCCAAATAGCCCAGTCATAGGCACATGTAGGGTATTGACTGCATTAGAATCACCCATCACAACAGTTGTTTAACCATGAGGTCATCTAGAAAATTTTTTACATAAACAAACTTATAAATGAACATGACTCAGTTACCTTAGTAGTTAAAACCCTGACAAAATCACCAGAGAACACAGGTAAATGTTTGTGGGGACTAAGTGTGGAATTAGGAAACATAGTGGCCAAGAACCATGGCTCAGATGTTGATAAGGGATCACATCCCAGATTGTTGACATCAACACATGGCATGTGACATACAGCAGGATCCCACCAACCTGTAGTCAGTGGAGCCCCCTAAAATAACAGGCCCAGTCTGGCCATCCCAGGCCAAAAATTCCCTCTGCCTGCCATGTGGAAGGAGTAGGACTAACACCTCCACTCTGTTGACTCCAATGAAAACTGGAGGTCTTGACTTCCAGTGTAGTATTCCTTTTTAAGGTTTTATTTATTTATTTATTTTTATCCTATCTGGAGGGTGTACTTTGGCTTTGCTTTACATAAGTAAATCTGTCTCAATGTATATCAGCGCAGCAGCACTCCCTGTGCTCAGCTGCCTCTTGTCTCTCTGTGTTTGAGTAAATTCTTGGTGTCTTGACAAATTTGTGGATTAACCTGTAGTACCAAAAATTCCTGATAGTTATCGTGACAAAACAGAAACCATTTTTAAGAGTTTTTTTTAATGTTATTAAGAACAATGTATTTTTAAGATAGCCCTATTGTTACGAGCTTAGAGAATTAAGTTTTAGTTTAACATCAGTACGTAAAATTTTGACCTTATAAAACCTTTAATGTAACTGGATTTTAGTCACCTCAATCACTTATATAAGCATTTATAAGCTCCATCTTTTTTATGACAACTTACTATGTACCTTTATGACAACCTTTTTTGTATCCTCTGGGGGAGCTTGTCTTTATCATTTTTTTTTTTAATTTAAAAGTAGTTTTTTAACCTTTTACTTTTAAAAACCCTATCCTTAATACCTTATATATGTATTTTTGTTACTTGTTAAAAATAACTCATAAACCCTTTTAACTTAGAGCCTTATATTTGTATGAAAAAAAAAACCCAGAAAGCAACCTTAAAATTATTTTTTGTATAAAAACAATTTATAGACAGCCCATTTGTTATGAGACCCATGTATTATAAGAGAATTAAATCTGGGTTTTGATGGACAGGGGCTGGCTGGAGGCCCTCTTTCTAAGGAGACACTGAACACTGTTCCCAGGGCTGCTGTACCCTCAGGCCTGATACGCATCCTATAGGATGTTTCCGGGCTAGTTTAGCCTTGGAGCAGCTGGTTGACATGAAACCTTTGTGCTCAGAACACCTTGCAGGCCAGAGGCTGGGGCTAAGTGCTGCATGCTTTCCTCCTGGGGACCCGTTGCCTACAGGTCTGGGTTTTTTTGTTTTGTTTTGTTTTGTTTTTTTTTGTGGGGCAGGGGGGTTTGAACTAAGGGCTTCATGAGTGCTAAGCAGGCACTCTACTACTTGAACCACATACCTACAGCCACTACAGATCTGTTTTTATCTTCTTCTTCTTTGGGATCTCTGAGGATCCACCTGCAGTTGTGGGAAATGGCATAGAGCTGTCCTCGCACTTTCACAGGACTTCGTTTTCCCCTGTGACACCATCCTGTCAAGCCCAGCACAATGTCCTAGGCAGGGAACAGAATTGGATACATTCATGTTTTCTGTGCACTTGGGTGTGGGTGGGTATGTACATGTGACCTTCCCAGACCCTTTTGGACATATTGTGGTACGGATCGACTGTCTTCTTGGGTCCTACACCAGGAGCATGGCCTGAGAGCCCAACCCTGGCCACTTCCCCCTGGGATCCTACTGTCCAAGTGAGTTGCTTAGAATCTGGCCTGGAGTTGGGGACTATGGCCAGATCACTTGGGGCAGAGCCAGTCCTAGCCTACGTGCTGGTGTGTGGCTGTGATTTCCTTCAGTGAAATGAGAGTATCAGAAGTCATACGCCCAGAGTCCAACACAGCCCCTCATGTGGGGCCAGAGTTCGGAATGACTATTGGGGTTGTAAGCACTACTCCAGACCCCTTCTGCTCCCCAGGGAGACACCAGGGGTCGCTGTGTGTTTTTCCCTTCTAGTTTCCCTACGTCACTCCCGCCCCCCATGAGCCAGTGAAGACGCTGAGGAGCTTGGTGAACATTCGTAAAGATTCCCTCCGGCTTGTGAGGTAGCCCTGTCCCACCCTGCTGTGGGAGGTGTGTAGGGGGCCAGTTCTTCCTCCTGTGTGGAGACAGAGGCTGGAGCAGGACCTTGATCCTTCAAACCAGGGGTTCTCACTGGGTGGTTGTGCCTCAGGACACCAGGCATTTAATGGGTCTGTGGATATCACTGCTTTTAATGTACGGAGGCCCCAGAGCTGCTCAGCATCAATGGCACACACAGTGACCCACAGCCATGGTCTAGCCCAGGTGTCAGAAGCTGGTGAAGCTGTTTTAAACCTATGAGACTCAGGCCGCAGCCGTCCCCTCTTCTCTGTGGGCTGTAAGAAAGGATTTCAGACTGAGTGTTGGGCCTTGTACAAACAGGGAATGGTCTCCGTTTTTGCTAGAGAGCTCTGGCAGGCCGTGATCCCTGACCCACTCACTTTTGCCTGCCTTGATCAGGTACAAAGACGATGCTGACAGCCCCACTGAGGATGGTGACAAGCCCCGGGTGCTCTACAGCCTGGAGTTCACCTTCGATGCAGACGCCCGAGTGGCCATCACCATCTACTGCCAGGCAGTGGAGGAGTTCCTGAACGGCATGGCAGTGTAAGTCCCGGTGCAGCTGGGGCTCCACCCATGTGAGCCTTCCATCTCTACTCCTGACTGCAGGGAAAATCTGTTTGCACTCAGCACTTCCCTTTTTTCCTCCTTTCCCTCCTTCTCCTCCCTCTCCTTCCCTCCCCACCCCTCCCTCCCTCCCCTCTCTTTCTTGCGATATCAAGGATGGACCTCAGGGCCTTGCATGTGCTGAGCAGTGCTCCAGCACTGGACCACCCCCCCCCCCCCCCCGCTTGGGATTTTTATGGAGGCTTCATTGATTATTAATAGTCTGCAACCCCTCTCCCCTCAGAGCTTCTGATCACGGCTTGGTCTTTCTGGTGACCAGCCGGTCCCCTTCATGAACCTACTTGGAGCTGCCTTCTAGGTAGGATCCATCACCCAGGATTTTCCAAGGCATTGGGAGCTCTGTGCTGGGAACCTGAGGCAGAGGCCAAATGCATTTTTTTTTGTTTTGTTTTGGCGGTACTGGGGTACAGGGCCTCACGCTTGCTAGGCAAGCACTCTGACACTTGAGCCACTCCACCAGCCCTTTTTGTTCTGGATGTTTTTGAGATAGGGTCTTGAGATCTATTTGCCCAGGCTGGCTTTGAACAGCAATTCTCCTGATCTCTGCCTCCTGAGTAGCTAGGATTACAGGTGTGAGCCACCAGCGCCCAGAGAGATGCATATTTTTTATTATGTCACAATTACAAATGTGTGATCTTGGAGATTTTACTTAAAATAAAGGTCCTGTTGACTCCATAAATTTATAATCTGCTACTTTAGCAAGACCACAGCAGGGCTGCTCCAGCTGCAATGCCATCTGTAGGCCTGTGTGACCTTAGGGAAGAAATGTGGTCACATCCTTCTCACCTTGGAGAAGACCCCTCGGAGGGCAGGTTTGGGTATGGGCACTAAGAGCTGAGGCTTTTAATTCTGCCCTCCCTGTATTCACCAACTGGCTTAGGGCATGTGACTGCTTGTGCCTCAGTTTCTTCAGCTCAGAATGAGGGTGGCTGGAACTTCCCCCTCATGTTTGGCATACCCCTCACACACCCCTCAGACATAAAGGCCACATAATGAGCGCTCAAAGCTAGCTGCTATTAGAAGTGGGGCTTCCTAGGAAACTTGTCATCAGGCAAGGCCACTGCATGCCTATCCTTCCCCTCCTGGAGTCAGGACCTGGATTTTGGACAGGCAGCAGGTTTCCTCCTTGAGGAGCAGCTGGTGCCCTTTGTAGACTTTTTTCCTTGAGGCTACACCCAGACTCAAACACTGAGTTAGCATTTTTAGTGACACAGAGCAATGCATGAATCCATGCAATTACCCTTAGCAGGGAATTGGAAGGCCCAGGAGTATTTGGGGTGCTAGGTTTTCCTCACACCCCACAAGTTGTGGGGTGAGCCAGTGCAGTACCCATGGGCTTCCTAAACAGGCTGCAGTGACAGCTGGGAGGGGGTCCTGTGGTTTCTTTTTCTTTTTTTTTTTTTTTTTTGTGGTACTGGGGTTGGAACTCAGGGTCTATACCTTGAACCACTCCACCAGTCCTTTTTCGTGATGTGATTTTTCGAGATAGAATCTCACAGATTATTTGCTGGGGCTGGCTTTGAACTGCAGTCCTCCTCATCTCTGCCCCTGAGTAGCTAGGATTCCGGCACCTGGCTCTGTGGTTTCTTGAATTGTCCTTCAGCTCAGCTGGCACAGTGGAGGAGCCTTGGGTTCTGGAAAGGTGCCTAGGGAGAGGCTGCCCCAGAGGGGCCGAGGGCCAGAGTCAGGTGGGCCTGGTAAGGGAGAGTGCCCCCCCCCCCCAGCTCTGCTGTTCCAGCACATTCTGTGAGACCTGCTGGAGGACAGGGTCCTGCTGCCACCAGAGAGGCTGGAAAAGCAGCAGAGGGTCAGCAGGGTGTGGCTGCTCCTGGGCTGTGTCCCAGACCCCTGCAGGACAGATGGCAATAGAAATGCCACACTGTTGCCTTCCTTGGAGCTGGCACGAGGCCTGCTCCCCTCCTGGTTTGCTGGCTCATGTATTGCCAGAAGCCAATCCAGGACAGAAACAGGGAGGCTCTGGGTCCAGAGGTCGGACCTGGCCAGCCAGACTGCTCTGTCCTTCCAAGTTATAGGATAGGTAACCCTCTTGCTCCTTACCTGGCCCCCTTCCAACTTCCCAACCAGGAAACTGAGGCCCAGACAGGTGGATCCAGGGTCCCACAGCTTGTAAGAGAGAAGCCATGTCTACCACAAGCAGCGTCCCAGGCTGGCCCTTTCACAGCAGCAGAGGCCAAGACGTCCGTGGAGATCCTTCTCGTACGGTGCACACAGTAGCCATCACCTGGCCTCCCAGGCTCTTGAGAGTAGAGTGTCCTTTGTTCTGGAGACCCAGAGAGGCCTCAGGACAGTGTGGGGGTAGAGCACAGGGAGGATTCTGAATGGGGGAAGACACCAGAGTTTATGGAGATGGGAAATGGTGTGTCCTAGAACCCAGCCCTGCTTTCTGGGATGTGCACATCCTCGCAGATGTGCTTGTTCATGGACAGAGGATGGGCCACAAGCAGCACTGGAAAGCTAGTGGAGGCCCCTGGCATCCCTTGGGGGACTCTGAGTGATTCAGTAAAACTGTAGTGGAGCCATGAGGTGCTTTAGGGAGCATGGCACGTCCTATGTGGAGGTGGTGGGATAGCTGCAGAACAGGAAAGAGCAAAGTGTAATAATGGGTTGCTACCTGGATGTTGATAAGCAGACCTTCTCTGGGTGGCCACAAGTGTGCATCCTAGGAGCCATACATGGGCCTTTGCTGTGGCCCAGGGGCTGGGAGCAAGTGTGAGATGGAGAGGAATGCTGTGTTCACATTTATTAGAAAAAAGTAACAAAACCCCAACATCCAGTGGGCAGGCATCCCATGTCTGGGAAGGTAGCAGAGGTATCAGGCAGGTGTGGGCTCTGGGAGAGAATTGTCACCAGATGTGACTGGGCAGAGCTGCATGGCCAGCAGAGTGAGGCAGCCCTTGGAAGAACTTAGACATCCTAGCTAGGTGGGCCCTTCCTAGTCCCCACCAGAGAGGGCTGGGACCCTGCTATTGGATCCCTAAAAGACAAATGGGTGCAGCCGTGGTGGACATTGGGAAGGAGGGAGGCGGAAAGCTTGGCACGGCCGGTGACTCCGCAGCAGTCTTATCACTCTCCTGCTCTCAGGTATAGCCCCAAGAGCCCTGCCCTGCAGTCAGAGACTGTGCACTACAAGAGGGGCGTGAGTCAGCAGTTCTCCCTGCCGTCCTTCAAGATCAACTTCTCTGAGTGGAAGGATGATGAGGTAACTGCTGCAGCCCTTCCTCCCGTGTTCTCTCCCATCTGCCCGACTTCTCACCCCTTGGGTGGTGCCGCATAGTGGGGCCTATAGATCGGACTCCCCCGGCCCTGGGAGGCACTGGGAATGACTGCCTGGGTCCGTGTCCTGGGCTGGATGTGCCCAGGGACAGAAGAGCAAGATGTGGGTTGCCGTTAGCAGTTTGGGTGAATGAAGGCCAATCCAGGAGCACGTTACTCCAGCACTGGGCTTTGTGTGAAGACGGGGACTCCCTTCGCTGTTGCTGGGCTCCAGGACAGTAGCGTGCATCCCTTCACCCCTTGTACTTTGTTACTTTTGCCACAAAGCCAGGCTGACCTTGAACTCCCGAGTGCGGGATTATCGTGGTGAGCCACTACGCTGGCCCTGGCTTATTGTCAGTCCTCTTCTGACTCGCATCTTGGACTTCTTTGCATGTCATACTCACTAGTCTCCTCCAGAGCCCTTTGTGCGCTGCGGCCTGAGTGGCTTCTCTGCTAGTTCTCCCTGCTGTTCCTCGGGCTTTTGTTATTTTACTCAGAGCCTCCTTTGCCTTAGTTTTCAATGTCTATCCAACTGGATCTTGCAGAAACCTTTGGCTGGGGCTCAGTTATAACTAACCACTGGGGCTGCCCAAAGCCTGAGAACTCAGCTGTGACTCATGCTGGGGCAGCTGTCTTGTCACCTTCCTGACCTGGGTGGCTGCTTTCCCTGAGAAGGTCCTGTCCTTCCATACAGAGGAAATAAATGTCTGCTCAGACTCCCTTTGCTGGGTGGAAGTTTATGCTCTCCCACCACCACTTATCTGGTCCTAGGCCACACTTTTTGCACATGTCTTGGGGGTCATGTGCCAAATTTTTACACATGCTACATGAATAAATTTTGAGAATATCATGCTCAGTGAAAGAAACCAGGCACAAAAGGACAAATACTGTTTGATTTCACTTGTAGGACATGTTCAGAACAGGTAAATGCACAGAGACAGAAGTAGGTAGATGAGTTGTTGCCAGGGACTAAAAGGAAAGGGGTATGGGGGCTTCCTGCCTAATGCTAATAAGAGTTTCTGTTTCTGGTTTTATTTTTTTTTTTTTTTGCTGTATGGGGTTTGAACTCAGGGCTTCATGTTTGCTAGGTAGGTGCTCTACCACTTGAGCCACTTCACCAGCCAAGTTTCTGTTTCTGAAAATGGATGGTGGTAATGGTTGTGTGACACTGAGTGTCTTTGATACATTTTGTCCCTGTACCCTCTGAGCTTTACTGACATTATCCTGCTCACTAGCCCTCTCCCTCCAGCTCAGGGAGAGCCTGGTGGCTGTGGCTCCTGACCATTCCCACCTTCCCTTCTCAGCTGAACTTTGACCTGGACCGGGGTGTGTTTCCAGTGGTCATCCAGGCCGTAGTGGATGAAGGAGATGGTGAGAATTGTGGGCCTGTTCCTCAAGTCTGTCCGTCCATCCGTCCATGTCCCGTCCCCCGCCCCGCCCCCCGCCCCTGAGTGGGCCTGTGAGAGGAAGCTGCTGCTGCAGAGTGACGGCTGTGTCATCGCTCAGGACTGTGTGGTTGCCACAGGGTGGGCAGGTTGGAAGACAAGGAGGATGGACTGGGTGAGCTCCCTGTGCCCTGACCACGCTCCCCTCTGTCTCTCTCTCCTTCAGTTGTGGAAGTGACTGGCCATGCTCATGTGCTCTTGGCTGCCTTTGAAAAGGTAAGTACTCTCCTGGCTACTGTGGCCTGGGAGCTGGGGAAGGGGTGACCTTTGGAGACTGTAGGCTGAACATGGGGGCCAGGGCTTGGCGCAGGGCCAAGTGTCAGGCCAGGGCAGTGAAAGATTCCCAGCCCTTCTCTATTCCTAGCAGACTGGTCCTGGAGTTGAGCGTCCTCCCGGGAGGCTCTTCCAAGAGCATTGGGAGTGGTGAGGGTAAGGCCAGCCCTGTAGAGCCCGCCAGCACAGGCCTGATACTCACCTGGAGGCCCTGCCATAGACTAGCTTTTCCTTGGGCTGCAGAGCGATGGTCCAGGTTGTTGCCTCTTCTGGCTATGGCCCTTTCTCATCATGCCTGGTGTCCTCAAGTGCCACACAGTCTCACCTGGCACACTTCCTCTTTGTGCTCTGCCCCTTTTCACACCTGGCTGCAGTGCCCAGACCCAGCAGGGCCAGGCAGGCCTCACTCCCCGCAGGCCTTCCTGGACCCAGTGGGGACATATTCTTACTGTCCTTATGTGTTGGGCATTTGTGAGGGCAGAACTGGCCTCTTGTTTGTGGTGGTAGCCTCAGAGCTGGGCGGGATGCTTGGCTTGCAGTAGGCCCTCAGTGAATAATGGTGGGGTTGAAAAGGGACTGCCACCTGCTAGCATGATCCAAGACCTAGGCGGGTCCCTATTCACTGAGAAGTTGCCGGAGGTCAGGGTGTCCCTGACTGAAGATACCTGTCTACACCCCTTTGACATTTGTCAGCATTCTGCTGAGAATTGTTTTAGCACCGAGTGGGGCCAGTGGACCAAAAGACAGGGACCCCATGAGGAGTGGGTTCAGACTGCTTGTTGTAGGTTCCATCACACCTGTGCCTGCCCTCTTTGGGCCGCTCTCTCCAGTGCACAGCCCAGCTCCTCTGATATGGGTCTTCCCAAAGCACCAAAGCCACTCTGACTTATATTTCCTATGGTGAAACTGGGGCCAGAGTGCCCTGGACAGAGGTTGGCCTCCTCCCTTTTCAACACTCAGCTAGCTGCCAGCCGAGTTTGGCCTTGTCAGAGAGAGGTGACATTTACACGTTTGGTGTAAATGCATGGCCAGGTGCTTCCCATTGAGAGCCCAGTGAAAAACTGCTTGTTCTTCTAGTCCTACGTTCTAGAAATTTCCTTAAGAACCCACCAGGTAATTCTGAGTGCTGGTCTTGGTTGACTCGGAAAGTATAATTAGTGTTGTCTCAAAATCTTGTATCTGATATCGTAATTAACCTTGTTGAACTCTGCATTTCCCTGGACAGTGCTGAATGCATTGATTCTGTTTTGTCTTAACGTTTTTAGTGCTTTGAGCTGTCCTGTGTGCGTGTGCTGTCTTCCTAACTAAATCAGGCCATTGGCACGCAAGAGCTTGTTTGTGTTGATTTCACTGCCACTTCTGGGTGACAGGAGATTCTTGTCCATCTTCAGAGCTTGGCTGAATGGCTTCAACTTAGCTTGAGAGCCACGAGGGAGAGTTGGATTCTTCAGGGAAATCGGCCCAGCAGACTTTGTGTTTAGAGGGTTCTCCAAGTTCTTTTGTTTGGAAGCCAGGCCTGATGACGGTCTGAGCAGTCCTGGCCTGACTCCTTGCCTTTGTGTCTTCAGCAATGGATGTGGGTGGCTGCTAGCTGGCAGAGCAGGAGTGCTTGGAGGCACCAGCTAACCACATTAACCTGTGTTGTTCCCTTACAGCATGTGGATGGCAGCTTCTCTGTGAAGCCTTTAAAGCAGAAGCAAATAGTAAGTGCCAGACAAAATTCATGGCCCCTTTGATTTAAAACACACACACATGTGCACACACCTTCCCAGGCTCCATGCACTGCTCTTCCTGGGCCAACATGGCCATGTGGGAGCTCCACACCTTGAGTCTCTGAGATGTTGGAGTCTCTGTCTTAGGATCGCATACCCACTGAGTACCACAGCCACTCTTGAAGGCCCTGAGTCTTGTCCAGTTTGAACACAGTTCAGCACTTGGTGAATACTTGCTGGATGAGTGGGTGGAAGATGGAAGGACAGACAGGAAACAGCCTTCAGCCTCCTCCTCCCCCATACTCATTGCTGGGACTATGTAGCATTGGGCAGAGATTCCATTGACTGTCAGTGCTTAAAAGAAGGGTGGTGGAAAATCCCAGAATGAGTGGGAGCTGTAGACCGATGCAGCTTCTCTCTGGGTTCATTAATTCCATGTCCTACTCCTGGTGCCTTGGGCCTAAGCGTTGTGAGAAGCTCATGGACTGTGTGAGACCTAGAGAGTAAGACTGACTTTAATACCGTGCTGGGGTCTGTGTTCCAAGGCTGTGCTTAGTAGTTGTCCTGTGAGTAGCTGCCCAGATGCCAAAGATCTCTTTCAAGCCACAGAATGGGACTGGAGTTGGTTAGCTGTTTAAAAGAGAGAAAGACTGAAACTGGTGAGTCCAGACTCCATAGGTACTGGTGGTTAGAGTCCCTGCTGGCAGTTGGGACACTTGTTTTGGGGGAGCCAGCTGGCAGGACCCTGGCTGTTTAGAGGGGTATTGTGGTCTCTGGAACTGTGGGGCCCAAAAGCTGAGGCCTTTAGGTCGGGAGCAAATGGCAGGGAAGGACGCCACCTTGGTGTTTTTGAGACTACAGACTTTTTAATGTCTCACGGAAGGAGATGTGGAAAGTAGCTATGTGGGCATTCATCTGCTGCCTGCATACATTGACTCTGGCCACTCTTGCTGGCTGGTGATGGGTGGGTCCAAAGTGGTTTTTCTCTGGAGGTAGAGATGATGATGGGCAGGATGGCTGGGCTCCCAGCCCTGTTCCTTGTGCTGCTGGAGGGCTAGACACGCATCAGCTTTCCTTGCCCCTTTCCTGGCATCGACCCCCATCCCCAGGGGGCAGGACTGAATAGGCCCCGCAGCCCTGCCACAGCTGCCCTGTGTGTCAAGCTCCGCCACATGTGGAGATGGTGGAGGGCCTTGAGTGGAGGCTCGCCAGGGCCCAGCGCCTCTGTCTGCTTTGCAGGTGGACCGGGTCAGCTACCTGCTGCAGGAGATCTATGGCATCGAGAACAAGAATAACCAGGAGACCAAGGTGTGTCCTTGAGGGCGCCTGCCTGGACTCTAGGCTACCACACACCTGGGTTTCTGTCTGCCTTATGGAAACCCACTCACTGTGGGCGACTTGCCAGGGTCCTTCAGGCCCGGCCCAAGATCCCTGAGGGTTGATGGGAAGGAGCCTTCTTCAGCATGGCCTGGTCTCCCAGCCTCCATCATTTTTCCCTAATTCCTTTTTAGATGTCAGTTTTTGGTATATTTTGTCCTTTTTTCAGCAACTTCTCTGGTTTGTTACCTAAGTCACCATCCAGTTCCCAGGGCAGCCTTGGATCTGGTGACCTCTTCAGCCCCTCCCTTCCTTAGGTGAGCTATGCTGTCCCCTCTTGAACAACTAGGTCCTGCCTCCCTGCAGACAGTGTGTTCTGCAGAGTGGTGGAGGGACTCAATGCTGATGTCCAGGAGCTGTGTTGCCAGACACAGTAATGGCCTAGCAGATCCAGGGCAGGACAGCACAGCATGAAATTGGAACCTGGTTGTCTTCTGCATTTTTTTTTTGGCAGCACTGGGGTTTGAACTCAGGACCTCACGCTTGCTAGGCAAATGCTTTACCACTTGAGCCATTCCATCTGGCCTCTGTATTAGTTTTAAAGGCATTCTGGTATGAACAAATCTGCCACCTGTTTTTTTTAAGCCTCTGAAAGTCACAGGAGCTTCAGTGATTTCTGGTCCAGGACAGCTGGAACCAGCCAGGAGCTGGGAGGCCAGGTCTGGCTGCAGCCGAGCACGCCTTGCTTATCTACGTGCTTTCGCCAGCAGTCGCTGACTGACTGTGAAGGGCTCCATAGTAAACACTTCCGGCTTTATGGGCTGTCTGGTTTCTGTGGCTTCTAGTCAGTGCTGCAGTTGTAGTTGAGAGATGCACGACATGGGCGTGGGTAGGGTCCAGTAAAACTTTACTCACTGAGATGAAGTGGCTTGTTTCCAACCCTTGTTTAAGACTCACTTACTCTCTTTTTTTTTTTTTTTGACCAGCACTGTGGCTTGTGGCTTGAGCTCAGGGCCTCACACTTGCTAGGCAGGTGCTCTAGCATTTGAAATACAGCCCTTTTTTGTGGTTTATTTATTTTTTTTTTTTGGCAGTTCTGGGGTTTGAACTCAGGGCCTACACTTTGAGCCACTCCAACGGCTCTTTTTCCAGATAGGATCTCATGAACTATTTGCCTGGGCTGGCTTCGAACTGCGATCCTACTGATCACTGGCTCCTGAGTAGCTAGGATCACATGCGTGAGACTTTGACTTTTTTCTTGATCCACATGCTGATTTGGCTTCTGCAGGCTGCTATTATTTATTTAATGACAATATTTCCAAGTTAGATTTGATTGTTTTTAAGGTATTGATAGGCTCCCTGACCATTGTAAAGACCTTAGCAGTGCATCTCTTTAGCGTTGTCTATCTATGTCTGAGCAGCAGAAGGTGAGTTCTCATAGCTTGGGTGAGTACTGGCATAGTTGCTCCCCTGTGTGTGAGCTTGGTGCCTGGTAGGGCACCTGAGGGTTCTCCCACCACCAAAAGCCTCTTGCCTTCTGGGTTTCCCTTTGCCATATTTCTCTTGGGGGAGGGGAGATGGCTGATGTCTCAGCTGGGCACAGGAGGGCCTGTTCTGGGTAGCAGCCTTGGGCCCTCAGAAGGCCACTGACCTATAGGCCTTTGTCCCCACAGCCCTCAGATGACGAGAACAGTGACAACAGCAATGAGTGTGTGGTGTGCCTGTCAGACCTGCGGGACACACTGATCCTGCCCTGCCGCCACCTGTGCCTATGCACCTCCTGTGCCGACACACTGCGGTACCAGGCCAACAACTGCCCCATCTGCCGGCTACGTGAGTGCTGCCAGGGCCCTGCACCACAGCAGCCTTGTGCCAGGTTCATCGTGGGGTCTGTCAGTCCCTGTTGACTAAGAGATGAGCGTGCCACCTGTCCTCCATGCAGGGCTAGTTTACATGAGGTTTGCTAGCATAAGCGCAGTCAGGTCCTCAGAGCCACCTCCAGGACAGGTGGGGTTTAGAAGGAAGGGAACAGAAGTGCTCCAGGCACAAGCGTGCAGTGGCACTTGTACCAGGCAAAGGTTGGCCAGGGATAAAATCTGTTTTTGAAGGTTCTGTAGGAAATATTTTGGAAAAATTCAAGTAAGTTGAAAATGGAAGTGTGGTGGGGAAAGCTGAGTACCCAGGCTTTTGTCATGGATCTGAGGAAACTTGCCTCCTCACTCCTGTGCAGTCTTGGCTCATGCTTTTGAACCCACTATCTGAAAGCAGCAGCATGTCACAGTGCTGTCCCCATGCTGTGGAGAGGGGTGGTGGTGTGCATGCATGTGAAGTATGGGTGGTGGTGGTTCCTGAGGCTCATAAGGCAGGTGGTGTACAGATACAGAATATCAGGCCACACAGTCTGGGGACCTGGAGACCAGGAGGAAGGCCAGGGCTGCATGTGGGCTGCGAGCTTAAGCTTGTGCAAGGGGCTGGTGATAGTGGGTTCTCGGACCATGAACCAGGAAGGGTCAGTGTTAGTTGTTCATTGTCTGTCCTGTGTGGACCCCTGTGCTAGCCCTGGCGTCCACAGGGTGCCAAGATGGAGGCAGCACTCCTGTTGCCAGTGACTGGGGTGGCTTCACAAGAAGCCAGCATCCCAGGGATACCCAGCCACTCAAGGCTTCTCCAGGGTTCCCTACTGACCTGGGTTTGGGAAAAGAGGCATGCTGGTGGTTGATGGGCCTCAGCACCAGTCCCCAGTTTTTCCTGGCCTCCTGGAGCTTTCTGGGATTTAGAGTGTGGTGCAAGGGCCAAGGAAGCAAAAACAGGGCAGGAGCAGGTGTGTAGCCTGGCCTGGACCAACTCGGAAGCTAGGTAGGGCCCTTTCTTTGGGCCCCCATGGGGCTGCAAACATGGAGCTTGTAAACTCTACTTCCAGCCCACAGCTCATGTCTTTCCTCCATGGCTGGTGAATCTGGGATATGGAAGGTTGTGGAGGCTAACTGTCTCAGGAGACTCCAATGCACACAGAAAGGTCCTGTGTGAGGCAGAAGATGGGGAAACTGGGGGACAGAAATCTGGATGTGATGGGTGTGGTCAGAACAGCAGGGCTGAGGAGGCCTGAGGTCAGAAGGGTGGGAAGGAGGGCCCTGGCTGGGCTGGGCTGGGCTGGGCCTGGCCCCAGGTGGGGATCTGAACTCATTGTAGGTGTCAGGACCTGCCAGCTGACCTCTGAAATCTTCAAGTGTGGAGCAGGCCCTGAGGAAGGGTCATCAGGCTTGAGTTAGGGATGGTCTTGTGGCCTTGGGCCTGCCTCTGTGCTGATTTCTTTTCTCTGAGATGCGGGTAGAGGCCTCCTGTTACTGGCTGAAGTCAGAATCTGCCTGTTCTTGGTAGTAAATGAGGGTGGTACTGCAAAGTGCAAACCCAGAAGGAAATGCTGCCAACCTGCAACCTGTCCCAGCCACCCTCAATGCCAGGCCACAGCTTCTTCCTTCACTTGTCTTTTTTGCTCCTGTTTTGTGGCCTGTTTGTCATGAATGCATGGCAGTTACCTTCACCTACCATATCCCAGCAACATCACTTCATTGTTGCTATTGTGGGCACAGAGTGTGCTATCGGATGTCCCTGACATCCCAAGTCCTGATCTGTTCTCCCTGCAGCCAGGGTCTGCCCCAGTCTCCACCCTTCTGCCCCATTAGCGTGAGCTGGAGCCAGGGTCACTATCTTGAACAGTGAGGGTAATGGACAGTTCTTGACCAACTGCCCTTAGCAACTCCATCAGAGCCTTGCCATTGGGGCAACCTCATGGCCTCTTTTTGCCTCTGCTTGGGGCCATTTCTTAAGGTTCTGGTCAACCTCTGATGGTGGGGAGCGTGACGGGCAGAGCTTGGGAGCATGTTTCTTGTGCCTGGATGTGTGGGGTGTCATAGCATGTGGTGCTCAGCGTCCCTGGGCTGGGAGGGGTTCTTCATGCTGGAGATGCTACTCTTGCTCATGTGTGCTCCTCCCTCTGCCACAGCGTTCCGGGCTCTCCTGCAGATCCGGGCGGTGCGGAAGAAGCCAGGGGCCCTGTCTCCCATTTCCTTCAGCCCTGTCCTGGCCCAGAGTGTGGATCATGATGAGCACTCTGTAAGTGCCTCTTCCTGTTTTTCTTGTCTGGCTGCTGGACAGGCATGGCCCCCACAGGAGGCTGGGGACCAGGCTGATTGTTGCTCTTGAGGAGGCTCAGACCCTCTGCTAGCTCCCACCAAAGTGTATGTCGCTGTCGCCTACAGGAGGTGTTGTCCAAGGGCAGCCGTCACAACCTTCCTGAGTATGCCCTGCCAGATGGCTGATCATAGCCCCAGCCCAGAGTCTATCCCACAATGGCTGACCATAGCCCCAGCCCAGAACCCCCCACCCCCAAAAGGAGACTGCACTGCTGGACCTTGTAGGAAGGGAGGGTCTGTCCGTCAGGGCCTAAAGAGAGAGAGGGAGGTGAAATGAGAGACAGACTCAGGCAGAGAAAGAGGTTTAGAGAGGCTTGACCCCTCGGAGGCAGCGGGAGTGATGCCCAGGGACAGAGATGCAGGTGGGAAGAAGAGGACGAGGCAGTGGGAGTGGGTCGGATGGTAGCCAGCCGGCAGGGCCAGGCCTGGTGTTGGACTCCTGCTTCCTCCTGAGAGAAGAAGAGTAAACCCTGCGGGCATGTGCAGCCTCAGGATGAAGGCTTTGCGCCCAGAGGTTCCTTGCTAGCCTCCTTTACTTGACGGTCTTGCCCTGGCCCCACCAACCAATGTGATGTGCCCTGCCCACACAAAGGTTCTGAGCATTGAAGAGCCTGGAGACATCCCTTAAAATGCACACGTTCAGATTCTCTTCCAGAATCTGAGCTGCAGCCGAGGCAGAGCTGCCCTAAGGCCCCATCACAGTCCCTATCACCAAAGCCCATTCCCTACTCCAGAGGGCTGACCCCACAGTTTTGTAGACTGGGCTGTCAGCACAAGCCTTCTGCACACCCTCCGTATTCACCCCCGCCTTCCAGCACCTACTGTGTTGGCCTTGCTTTAGAAATGCCACACACTTCCACCAGCAAAATACTTTTTGGTTGTGAGAGGAATCATACTTAGGTGGACCTGGAAAGAAGGGAGTTAATATTTCAGAGGGATTAACTGGTGCTCATGGTGGTGGGTTTCTTGTTGCTTGGTTTTGCCCTTCCCAGTTTCTGGACTAGTGGCCAAGGATCAGACTCACCCCTTCCTGTTTATCCCTCGTACCCCAAGTGAGCCAAGACACCTTCCACCGTGCAGGGCGGAGGTACCTTAACATGTAACTGCTAGCCAGCAGCTTAACCTGCCCCAGAAGGACCATCACCTTCCTCTCTGCAGGGCTCAGAGTTCTTGTTCTCTGCCACCTTCCCCATCTGGACTGTTTCCACACAGTGCCATAGAGAGCCCAAATTAGGCATTTTCTCCAGGGAGTCAAGAGGATCGTGGGGTTACGCACTCAGCTACTCTCATGCTGTCTTGGCCAGGACCTGCTGTTCTGGGTGACCCAGGCTGTGGGTGGGTGGGTGTTGTGGATGGGGACATACCCTTGCTACTCCGAGTGGGACCAGCTGCAAGGCTCCTGGAGACTGGTAAGACACAGAGGCCACCAGGGCCTGATGCAGGACTGGTTTAGCATGGGCTTGAAATTCCCTGCACAGAGCATGTGAGCGCCAGGTCCTGGCATGCCACAGGGCAGCAAACCAGAGACCTAGCCTTGCCAACCCCAGTGCCAAGTGGGGGTGGTAGTTGTAAAATGTATGATTTTTATCTTGACAGTGTCCTTTTAAAAAATCAAAGTCGCACCCCGCCTCCCTGGCCAGCAAGAACCCTAAAAGGGAAACAGTAAGTGTGTTTGGTCCTTGGCTACAGTTTTGCCCCGCACCCTTATTCTGAAGTCAATGAGAAGTGTGGGAAGGTCATGACCGCAGGCTAAAATGTCTGATTAATGCACTCTGTCAAATCGCTCTCCCCAGTCCTGGAGTCCCTGCCCACGAAGGGAATTTTGTGGAACAAGCAAAGTGCAAGGTCTGTTGACAAAAGCCAGTCCCTGGTTCCGCCGGGGGCAGACAGCAGCCTCGGCAGCACCCCTCCTCGCCAGCTTTGCTTTCCACGGCGCCCATCTCCCCCGTTTCCCTTTTTTCTTGCTGGCAGTGGAATGGATGTTGAAGGTGGAGCTAACATTGCTGCCTTTTGCAAACAGCACTCCCTGCGCATGCTCATTGGTCCCGCGTCCCTTGCTCTCTGTCCCTTGGAGTTTGGCTCTTTGGGCTGAGGACTCTGGTTTTCTGGCATTTTCCCTGCACCTTAGGAAATAGGCAGAGGGAGAGTAACGGATTTAGCCAGACCAGCCCTCTCCCCAGAGCCTCCGCTGACCTGGAAGACCCATTTGAAAACCTGGTATCTTAGTGTAACCGAGAGGTGGAAGTTCCTTGAGAAGCAACCCAGAGAAGAGTTTTTCCTTTCTGGAGGAGAGGGTGGCTCAGAGCAGTTACTTACTTTAAGTCAGGAGCTGACAAGGGAAGGACAGTGGTCCAGGAACACCACAGTGCCCGCCTGAGGTCACCAGGATGCTACTTCTCCACCCCCTCCCTTTCGTGGTCTCTGTTGGTCGGTTGGGCCAAGTAGGGAGCACTTGTGAGCATCGTGCTCACACCTGATGGTGAGGGCAAAGGGGTTCAGCACAGCCCCACCCTTAGCAGCCCCGTGGCCTGGTGGCTGGCTGGTCCTTGGAATCTGAGCACTTTCCATCTCTCTTGGCCTATGGAATCCATTCACTCCTGGCAAAGGGGCAGCAGTGGCTCTTACACACATGTTCCCACCACCCCCGGAGTTTGTGCTTCTGGAGGCCCAGGGCACTTGCTGGTGATGGTTCTCGCCTCTGGCATGGCTCGCTCTCCCTGCTCCTGGGTTCTTGCTGTCACTAACTCCCTTGTGCACTCTACCCCTGCAAGGTGGGAGCAGAAAGCCAAGTAGGGCTGGCCAAGGTGGTGGCTCTTATAGATGTCCAGGTGTGCTGCAGTTGTGGGCTGAGGGAGCCCCAGGCAGAATGGCTTTGAGGCCATGCAGGAGCATTTGGCAGGGAAGAGGGCATTTAAGTCCCCAACAAGTGGCGTGGAAGAAGATTATCACAAAGCGGGGCTGGGGAATAGCATGTCCCTGGGACGCAAGCCCAGTTTCTGGGGCTCTGTGTCAAGGGCAGGGAGCCCAGTCATTCCCTCCTCACCTATCCTTCTCCCCGCAGAGCTCCGACAGCATCCCACCTGGCTATGAGCCCATCTCCTTGCTCGAGGCACTCAATGGCCTGCGTGCTGTCTCTCCCGCCATCCCTTCGGCACCCCTTTATGAGGAAATCACCTATTCAGGCATCTCAGACAGCCTGTCCCAGGCCAGCTGTCCACTTGCAGGGCTCGATCGAATCATGGAAGGTGGCCACCAGAAGGGCAAGCCGCGGAGCAAGTCTCCAGACAGGTGAGGCCGGTGCCTGACTGCCCTTTAGGGAGGTGTGTTCTAGCTTGCTGTGTGTATGTGTGTGTGTTTGTGTGTGTGTGTTAATGTGTATGAATGGGTCTGAGTGTGTGAATTTGAGTGTATGACTGTGCGTGTGTGTGTGTGTGTGTGTGTGTGTATGTGTGTGGTGGCATATGACATGCATAAGAGTTAATCTGTGGTTTGACAGTTTTGTGCAATGACCAGAACGCATCAGGCCCGATAGTGGGTCAGATTCACCCATAGTTGGCCATGACAGAGGACGTGGAGCAGAGCAGCAGGGAGGCTGCTGGATGGAGGCCACGGGTTCCTAACGCCCTTCCTCCCCAGGCCACTCTGGCCACTTGCTCTCAGCACACTGCAGGACCATGTGCTATGTCTGCCCAGGGAGCCCATTTGAGTGTCGGGATTCCAGGACTTCAATAGTCAGTGGTCACATAGGTGCATCCCACCAAGTGACCAGCAATGACAGCTGCAACTCAGGACCCCTGAGGAGTGAAGCAGGCCCACCTTGCTGTTCTCGCTATGCCTGTGGTCATGGGTCCTTCCAGGCTTTGGCAGTATCTGCAGGCATGGCCCCCTGGGGTTGACCCTCCTCAGACTGGAGGGGTCAGCTGGGACTCCCTTGGAGACTTGTAAGGAATGGCCACCCAGCCCTGCTGTTGTGTTAGTTCTTCCAATAGAACGGGGTAGAGAAGATACATGCTCTGTAATGCCACCCAGGCCTCAGTGCCATGTGCATGTGGTCCTGTGACTCCAGAGATGCACAGAGTCACGTGCAGTCTGCCTGCTGCTTCCCACCTAGGGCTCTGCTGTTGACAGTTCTCTTGTCTTCTGAAAGAAGAGGACACTGGGCCTGTGCTGGTGTCCCTCAGAGGGCCTCTGTCAGGTGGGGGTAGATGGTCCTATGCTGGTATCCTTCAGAAGGCCTCTGTCAAGCAGGGCTGGGTCTGTGTTGGCTGTGAGGGCTGCATGGCACTTGAGGTATCCCAGTCTTTGCTCCTCAGGGGTGTCTCTTCCATGGCTCCTGGTGGATGTGCAGGTCACCCTGCTGCCATCAAGTTGGGGGATCTGCTGTCCATTGTGGCTTTGGCTGGATCCATTTCTCATCCAGACATCCTCCAACCACCTACCCTACCCTCTGTGTCCCCAGCACCCTGCGGTCCCCATCATCCCCCATCCACGAGGAGGATGAGGAGAAAATCTCGGAGGTCTCGGATGCTCCTCTCCCTCCAAGCTGCACAGAACTGGTGCTGCGGGAGAGCAGCTCTCCTGAGGTGAGGCCCTTCCGTCCCTGGTGAGGCCCTGGAGACCTGTTCAGGACCTCACTCCCTGAGCTATCTTGAGGCACCCATGCTGCCTGGGCACTGTTGTAGCAGGAGACCCCAGCCTCTGGTCTTAACTTGGGGTGTGATGGAGTTGCCATGAGTACTGTACAGGTGTGGCACCCAGCAACGTCTTTGCAGCCTGGGGTGGCGGCTTCTGCTCTCCTTCCTGCCCATTGCCTCTACCTGCTCTCAGGAGATCAGCTGGCACCAGCCCTGCCACTGAGTTCCAGGCAGCCTTCTTCTTTGTCTCTTAGAGTTTCGGAACAGAAGAAGTGGATGAGTCCTCGCTGAAGCCAGGTGAGCCCCTCCCAGCCTGGCCCCAAGCTGGGCTTCCCGCCTCCTCAGCCTGTACTTCTTAGGAGCAGTTACACTTCTGGCCTAGATTAGCAATGCACTGGGGCAGGGCTTTGGGTTTCCAGCCAGCCCCCCATGTGTGTACAGGGAGTGTTAACGAGCTGTAACACTCCAGGGAGGAGGCCTCCGCCTGGCCCTTGGGTATCGATTTCGTGATGTCACAAAAAAAGAATTTTAGGACACATCGAAGTAGAGACCAAGAAAGTTTATTGGTAAAGCTAAAGCAAAGGAAAGAGAAAGATAGTACACAGAGCAGATATGAGTGCAGGCACATTTGATAACAGGTGCAACCAGTGTTCTAACATCAAGGATATTTATAGTGAAAAAGTGGTTGGGGGTTGGCTTGATTCACTTTAGGAAAAGTGCTTCCTTTTATTCTGAAACCTGCTATAATTAGTTGTATTTGCTGTTACACTGACTTATCAGTTGGGCCCAAAGATTTCAGGGTCGGCCCACTCGTTAAATATGGGTCATTATGACACAGATGTCTGAGTAGTCCTTTAAAGAATGGATGGGGTCCTGCCACATGCTCCCTTCAGGACAGGTGTCTGTCCTTGTGATAAGTATTTTCCTTTGTGCCCAGAGGAGTCTTTCCCAGGATAAATGTCTTTTTAAAGATATCTTTGGTCAGTTCTCAGAGCACACTAATTTTGGGGGCAAGGTCAGAGGGAGAGAGCTGCTCTTTTTTTCTTTTAATAAATGTTGCAGTTTGTTGAGGGAGTATAATAAGCTTAAAGCAGAGAGAGCAGAATCTAGATGTTTTTAACCAAACTATCCATTAGTACAAAACTTATTTATAAATTCCTGGCTGCTGTTTCCCATGCCTCCATTTCCCTGATCTACCCTGCCTCAGGAGGGCTGCCTGGGCGTGGGCGATGAGCCCTCTTGTTTGGTGGTTTTCCTGAGTTGCCTGGCTGTCTCGAGATGAGCAGAAAACACTGGCATCTCCTCTCACCTCCGCATAGCTGAGGATTTGGGCATGTGTGGCCTGGGTTCCTGCCAGATCTCACTGGCTATTCCCTGGACGAGGTGCCTCCAAAGCCTCGCTCTGCTGTCTTGGTCATTCTTTGCCATGTCGCTGCTGGACAGATGAAGAACGCACAGCACAGGCAGAACCAGGAAGGCTCAAGGCCACTTAGAAGTAACGGAGCCACGATATGGCCCTGACTGGTGGTGTGGCTAGCAGTACGGTGAAGGCCCCAAAATAAATCCCAGCTACTCTGTTGCACCCCATGTCCCTCTCAGGGGGAGCCCCCACTACCCATGTGAAGCCCATCTGCAGGGGCTGGGCCAGCCCCTCCATTCTAAGACCCAGGCCTTGGGCATGAGCTTGAAAGTGTTCACGGGAGCAGTGTGTGTCTGCCGCCCTTCTAGGTCTCACCTCCCTGTATTTTTATTTTGGGAGCTGGGTCTGTGCGTGGAGAAGCAGGGTCTGTAGTCTCAACTGGTGCAACCTTGTCGGGAGACACTCAGCCTTGGGGCCTCAACCTTTTCACCTTGAGCTGGGCCCTTTGTGCCCTGTCTGAACTCATGTCTGTCCAGGCAGAAGCATCTGCAGGGATGGGAGCCCCTGGTGTGCCCAGGTCCCTGGAGCCCAGGCAGTGTGGGGGCCAGCCCTTTTTCTGTCAGAGGACACTACTGTCAGCAGCACTGGGAAGCACAGGCCTGAGCTGAGGAGGACTGCTGTGGGGAGGAAAAGCCCACCTGTCTGCTCATGTATGGATGTTCCCATCTGTTGATAAGAGGGGATTAACTAGCACCTGCTACCAGCCAGCTTTGTTTTGAAATAGTACAAAATGTCCCCTGCCTGGGAGAGAGAAAGGGAAGGGAAAGAAAAGGGGTCACTGGAGAGCAGGTGGGCTCAGGGTGGAGTTGGACAGAGCCAGGCCCAGGACCCCTCAATCACCAGGACCTGCCCCTGCTTGTTGGTCCTGACTTTGCCCTTCCACCTATTACAGGGAGCCGAGTACCATCCATTGAGGATGTCCTGCAGGATGGCAGCCCCCAGCACCGCAGCTGCAGCCAGCCAGTTCCTCCTGCTGACATCTGCCTACCAGGTAATAGCACGCGGTGTCCAGGGTTAGGGTTGTTTGTCTGTGGCAGGGGTGCTGGCCCCTCTGGAGCCCATTTCATCCTCCTGGCTCTAAGTCACACTCTTTTCTCCAGCCCTCAAAGCGGGACTCAGGCCAAGCCCGGTTCTGCCTGGTGTTCTCCTGCAGGCCCGGTTCTCTGCAGCAGAGCCTCTGTCTGAGGTCCCTTCCCACTCTTGAATGGGCTTGACTCCTAGAGGCAGGACAGGTTGCTTGTAGGACACAGTCCTCTCTTTTCCCCTGTGCTCCTGCCGAGGACCAGTTTGGCCAGCTTGGGATCACTGTCTTCCTTCGTGCCTGCTTCATACCGGTTGAACCAGCAGGACCTCCATCCCAGAAGTTGCAAACAGCATTTGAGAAAGAGAGGACCAGGGTTGTGCTGGGGAGAGAGTGGAAGAATCCAGCCAGAGAGCCAGGGCAGCCACCTCTGAGCCACTCACCTGCCCCTGGGCTGACCTAGGCCACCTGCCCAGATGAAGCAGCACTTCCCTGGCCAGAGCAGAAGACAGGCTGACTGTGCTGGGCAGTGGGAGGCCAAGGGCAGAGAGACAGTCTTGCTTTTCCTCTTCTTTCCAAAGACTCAGACCCAGGGCTCTCAGCTCAGCTCCTCCACTCTGTTAGGATAAGATCCTCAGCTTCAAGTCTGGGGTTCCAAAGTCAGGGATGGAGTGGGGCTCCTGAGCTTCAGGAAGAGACAGCCATGTTACCTTTGGAGACATCACCTAGAAGTATCCTCCAGGGAGCCAGCTTCTCCCATGTGTCGGAGAAGCCCTTTTGTCTCCGGGCTGGCCCTGGAACCTGCATTGCTCCAGGTCACCCATGGCTTGGTCATAAGGTGATTGTGACATGCTTTGTCCACTGGCTCCTGAGCAAGCAGTGGCTGTGCAGACTGACCGGGGTTGGCAAGGTTACCAGGTGTTGGAGAGCAGGTCCCAGTGATGCTATTGCCCGCTGTGGCCTCCTCAAAACAAACCCATGAGTGGAAGTGTGTTTGAAAACAGCACATCCCAAAGGAACACAGAGTTCCAGTAAGTTGCTTGAAGGACCTGAAGTAGTCCATTCCAATTATAAACTTGCGGGGTGAGCGAGGAGGGCTTAGGAGAGAGACTCCAGCTTCCTAGAGCCACAACTGAGTTCTGATGCTGCAGGCAGTCCTGGGGGCACCTTGACAAACTTGCATCTGAAAAGCCACCCCTCCCTTGCAGCCTGCAGAGTCTCAGGATGCAGCATCTGAGACAAAGATTTTTGGACCCTTCACTCCCTCCCCAGGCCAGGGTCCAGCGGGGTGGGTGGCAGGCATCTAGAAGTGGTAGGAGACCCAATCCATATCCAGGCAGCTGAAGGTAAAGAGTCAGCCCTGGCCGACTCAGCACAGGGGCATGTCACTGTCCCCGGGCTCTGGACCCCAGCCCTGCTCTGCAGAACTATCCATTACACAGGCTGGTTGCTTGTGTAGCAGTGCAGCTTGAGGGGTGCCCCACCTCCTAGTTCTGTCTCCTGCACCTTCTCCAGTCAGCCCCCACTGCTGCGTGTCAGCATGTTGGGGGCAAGCGGCAGTCCTGCACCCGTGTGAGTGCTTGCTACTCACAAATGCACCATCTGTTCTCCTGGCTTTTGTCACTTAACAAAGGTCTTGAGCATCTTCACACATTTGTGTGAAAATGTGCGCGCACACACACGCACACACATGCAGGTGTCCTCATTCTTTGACACCTGCACAGCTGTCCCCTAGATGGCTGCAGCCTAATTCTCTGAACCCAGGTCTCCTGGAGGTGGGGAAATCCACAAAATGGTGACTACTTAGGGGCCTTCGCCTCGAGTCAGTCCTGTCTAACCCTTCACCCAGGAATGTGGCTTCTGAAGTCAGAAGTGGAGCTGTGCCCTCTGCATGCCTTCCCTGTAGCTGTGGCCATCAGAGCGGGCAGAGCAGAACTGCCATGTTCCCCTTCTTAAAGCTTGGCTTAGGGTCTGTGCTGGTCTGTGGCGAACACCTGCTAACCAAGCTCCATCTGTCTCTCCCTTCTCTGCACAGCCTTGGGGCCTGAGTCTTGCTCTGTTGGTATAGAGGAGTGAGCTGGTATGTGACGTCCTTTCCTACCTGCTTTGGGGGCTCTGCTGGGCGTCCTTGGAGAGAGGAGACCTTTGTTCCCCCTGTGGGGTTCCTTCTGCCTTTCTGTCTTCATCTACATCTATGTCTTCCCAGGGGCCTGGATCCCAAATCCAGAGCCATCAACAGCAGCTGTGTCTTTTTCCCTAAAAGGTGACCTCCTGGGGCTCCTGCTGTTGCACCTGGAGGTTCGTCTACCTGCATAGGTGCCCGATCAGGCTCTTATAGGACGTAGGGTCTGCAGAGTGGTGAATCAGCCCAGCCATGCCGAGCTCCATCCCCAGTAGAAATGAGCTGGAGGATCAGGGAGCCGTGGGAAGTCTATGGGCAGTGTCGGGGGCTCCAGTCCACAGCACTCTGCGTGCCCAGCAGGTCCTGCTCCTGTCCTCTTGACTGTGGCTTCAGCAACAAATCTGATGTCCCCCAGCTGTGTGAGGCCCTAGGTCAGCAGTTCCCAGAAAAGTCTTTGTCTGTTAGAGATGTCTGTCCTCTCAGGGATACTGGCTAGTGAAGACTGTCTTGCTTCCTGTCCAGGGGGCGTCCTCTTGCCCTCCTCTGTCCTTGTGGCCTCTGGCATCACCATGTACGTGGTACACTTTACTCTTGTAGACTGCTGAGCCTTTCTACTGTGAAATCACTATTACCAATGATAGCCTGTCCCTTTTGTCCTTGGAACCTTCTGGAACACCGACACATGAACAATCTGTTGGGTAATGTGTGAGGCTGGAGGTGCCCTCCACTGGGTGTAAGGCAGTTCCTGAAGGCCCCGAGAACTAGACAGACAGTCCAATGCCACCTGTTCCTCCTAAAGGTTCTGACAGAGGGGTTGAGGCTTTCCACGTCCAGGGTTCCCCAGCAAGACTAGGCACTGTGGCCGTTGGGCCCATGGAGCCTGTGTGCGGTGTGTCTGGCTGGTGTCCAGGATTCTAGGCTGCAGCCCTCTCCCTCCAGACAACCCAAGCTGGGTGGGGTGCTGCTTCTCTTGTTCTGATGGATGTCTGTGCATTCCCCAGACCTTTCTTTCTGGTCCTTTTTGAGCCTTGCTTCTGAAAAGTTGTATCCCTCTCTGAAAGAGCCCCCGACACTAAACGCACAGTCAGCCACAGCCCTGCGGGTGACAAAGGCAGGTTGAATGGTACAGGTTAGGTTAACGTCCACAGCAGAGGCCTGGGTCTGGCCTGGACAGTGATTCAATGGCAGAACTACCTTGCACAAGGCCCTGGCTCCTGGGTACAGGTGTATGGGGGGTATGACAGCTATCTGGAAGGTGGTACCAGCAGCCCCTCTTCTCCTGCCGGGTGAATGAGTTCCAGCCTAAAGTTCACAAGGATAGCAGCTGCTTAGCTCCAGGATGTGTTGACTAGGGCAGGGACCAGAGATCTGAGGTTCTAGCAGCTTGCCACGCTCCACTGCCAGGCACCCGGGGTGATCTGGGGGTAGAGGTGGGGGTGCCGGGGCCCTGCTCACCCGGGTTCTCTATTGAGGGAGCTAAGCCTGACCCTGCTTCCCTCTCCTCCCACCTGCAGGATGGTCCACCTCCGTGGAGACACCCCACAGCCTCGGCACCACCAGCCCCCCCTGGCCTCCTCTTGGTGGCTCCAGTCCTGAGCCTGGGCACACTGAGCTGACCCCACTCTGAGCCCAGCTAAGCTGGCAGCATGGAGCTCTCAGCTCTCCAGACTTTGCTGAGAGGCTTCCCTGGACCCAAGCGCAACCCTGGCCTCTTCCGTCTGCACATTGTGTGTGACCACCAGGCTGAGGCCACCATGACCCTCCATCAAAGAGCACAGTGGACTGTCCCTTCTACAAACCCTCTTTTTCTACGGCCGGTATATTTGTAAATGGTACAAGATGAAGGAAAGCAGCACTGGGCCCTGAAGCTTCCCCAAAAGCCAGGGTCAGTGCTCCTGGAAGTTAGCAAACCAGCAGAAAGAAGAGGTGTCCATGGAGATATGTGTTCTGGAAGCATGGGGGAGCCATGTTCCGGTCAATGAAGGAAACGGGGTCTGTCTGCCACCCCATGTGTACAACCCTCCAGGTGGCCTGGCTGCCTCTGCCTCTGGGGTTTTGTTGTGGTGACGGGTGGCCCTCTTTGGCACCCTGAGGCCCCACCTACTCTACTGTGGCTTCTGCTCTGGCAGCTGGGGTGCTGTGGGCAGGGCTGGGCAACATGACCTCATTTGTGGTGATGGGTGACCTGTGGCCTGGTCCTGGTGCCCTGCGTCTTGTACCCCCAAGGTAGCTGTGTTTCATGTTGGTGGCGCAGCCCATCCACCCACCAGGGAGGGACCTGGGCAGCCCCCTCGACTTCCCCGTTGCCATTCAAATACCCCTTTTGCCCTTCTCACTGACTTAACTGTCCAAGGTCCTGGAGTGTGCCCTGCCTGGGAGAGGAGGGGACCAAGAGCTCATGTGGGAGCAGAGTCCCAGCTGTGATGCTTTGCTTCTGAGGTGACTTTGCGACAGAATGGCAAAAGGGGCGTCTGGCATTGGTGCCCAGGCAGAGCTGCTCCAGGAGGGCTTGGGGCCAGTGCTGAGGGCAGCTCTCCTGCCAGGGATGGTGAGGGCTTGGCACAGGAGCTGCCCCACAACTCCAGTGGCAGGGGCAGCTTGCCCTGTGCCCAGAGCCCGCCCTGAGGCTTCTCCAGCAGGCACTTGGGGAAGAGACTTGGCAGTGGCTGGCTCCCCTCCGTCTCTCCTGTGAGCTGAGCACATCCAGCTGCCTCCTACCTGCTGTATGCACATGTGTGTGTACACATGACCACGTGCATGCACCCCCCCTCCCCCCTCCCTACCTACACCTCCTCCCTCCCTCCCTCCCTCCCTCCCTCCCTCCCAACACCCTGGCCTCTGGCCACCAGTACTGGTGCCAGTACTTTGAAAGATGGGATGCAGACCGACCCGTTTTGGACTCACGTGCTATCATTTGATGAACTCTGATTGGCTAGTTTTGGCTCGTTTTTACTGTATATTTATAGTAATAAAACCATGCAGCAATATCCTGTCTGGCCTCCCTCTGGGCACAACACTGGGCCTGAGGCTGTTCTTGATGAAGTGTCAGGACACTGAATGGTTAGTGGTTGGCTCCTAACAGCTGGCAGCCTCTGCCTTGGTTTCCTTGTTTAAGATGGCAGTGGCAGCCCTGCTCCGGAGCCTGGGCTGTGGCTTGGCACTGTCATTTTCCTTGTCATTGCTCACTCTGGCTGGAATTTGCTCGGGTTTCCTCAGCAGGTGGTGGAAGACCCAGGTCGGCACATGTGCGAGTTACTCAGTCCCTGCCCGCATTTGTGCCCCAGCAGGGCAAAACTGACCAGGTCCAGGTCCCCAGGCACTTTCATTCCAATCAGTGGGGCACTTTTAAGGTTCGGTTCCTTTTAGGAAAGACATCATTGGGAATGAAGTCACATTGGTGACTTAATTTAACCAGTTGTCTTTGAGGGGAAAACCAAGTCTTGAAGGATGAAGGAGCTGACGGAATAGGACTCAAGAGCTGACAGCAAGTGCAGAGGCTCAGCAGCAGGAGTGAGCCTAGTTTCCTCACGGTACAGAGAAGGCTGCTGGCTGGAGAATGTGGAGTGCTTGGCATTTTCAACAAAGGCTTTCAGATCAGGTTTTTGAGCATGGGAGCCACACCTTGCAGACTGGAGGATAAGTGGAGCAGCAGGTTGGCTGCCAGTGGTAGGTTTGGAGGATGGAGGCTTCAGCCTGTAAAGGGAGTGGCGTCCTGATTGGAGCTGCCTCCGCCGGTGTTTTAATTCCTCAAGAGCAGAGAGGGACTGGGGTTCTTGGCCCAACTCTGCCAGGGAATGCTTGCTTGCCATGTGTGGCCCTGGCAGCTGCTCTGACAGCCTGGGTCTGCCAGGGCTCCGCCAGGGCTCCAGTGTGGCCAGAGGAGTGAGCTGAGTTCTTGCAGATGGGCCAAACTGGATCTTCCTCCTCCCTTCCCCCAACAGGACTGGTGCTTTTATCAAAGCCTGGTTGTGAGGGAGGGGAGCCTTTCCCTGGGACCTGCTTGGATTGGAGGCACCCTTCCTGTGCCAGCTCTGCATGCCACGAGTGAGCCCTGACCTCTGGCTGAAGGCCACAGCAGCAGAAAGCTTCCCTAGCTGGCTCCATATTCCCCCAGTTTCCTGACCCCAACCCCACCTTGGACCTACCTGGTGAGTGGGTTTTCGGCAGATCCTGCCAACCTCCCACCCCTCCATCCACCTCCCACAGCCTTCCCTGTGTGACTGAGCAGGTCTGCTGGCACAGCTGCCCGAAACTGGTCCCAGCCGTGGGTACCCATCCTGAGCGCAGGTGGGGTGAGGGGGAGTGGTACTTGGGTCCTGCTGTTGGCGAGGTTAGCCTGGACATTGGTTCAGAGGGCCCCTTCGTGGTCCCTTGAACGACTATAGCAGCAGCGCAGCCTTAAGTCCTAGAGGCCTCCTTCCCTTGCACGATGATGCGACTCTGTCGTGGACAGAGTTACAGTGGGATCCTGGCTCAGTCACCCCCGATGGGTGCCCCAAGCACCTAGAGGATACTTGGGCGCTGGACTGGAGTTGAGTCACTTGCGTGTCCTGCACACTGGGTACCGGGCCCCTCGGCTCCTGGATCAGCTCCACCTGGCAGCGCTGATGAGGACTCGGACTGACGGGCGGTGGAGCTCTGCCAGGCCCCAGAGAGCAGAGCTGTGCGCGGCAGGGAGAGTTCTGCCCTTCTGAGCAGCGCGCTCTGTCCGCCCAGGGATCCTGCATAGACGCGTGGCCGCATGGAGGGCGCCCCTGTGGGCGGACCGAACCGCGAAGGGACAGTCGGGCCCCAGAGGACACCGGCACCCTCAGGGGTGAGGTAGCCAGCCATCTGCATTCCCTGCTTCCTCGGGTCCGGAACTGCGCGTCTGGGCTCCGAGCGCGCGCGCCCCTGGGGAACCTGGGTTCGCCGCACCGCGCCCTGGGAGGTTCACGTTCCCTGGGCCGCGGACGGGGTGGCACCGCCCCAGCTTTGCACACCGCCGTCCCCTCAACGGAGCGCCGTCGTCGGTGGGCGGGGCCCGCGGGCGGCGGCGCTCGCTGGTTGGCTGAGGGGACGGGAGGCGGGACGCGCATGTTCGCGAGGGGCGGCGCGGGGCTACCGGGAACGCGAAGATGTCGGCCGTGGCGGTTCCCGAGCTGAAGCAGATCAGCCGGGAGGAGGCGATGCGCCTGGGCCCGGGCTGGAGCCATTCGTGCCACGCCATGCTGTACGCCGCCAACCCCGGGCAGCTCTTCGGCCGCATCCCCTTGCGCTTCTCGGTGCTGGTGAGGACCCGGGCGGGGGGCGGGCTGGGTCTCCGACCCCGCGCCGGTGACCCGCGCTCCCCTTGCAGATGCAGATGCGCTTCGACGGGCTGCTGGGCTTCCCCGGCGGCTTCGTGGACCGGCGCTTCTGGTCGCTGGAGGACGGGCTGAACCGGGTGCTGGGCCTGGGCCTGGGCGGCCTGCGCCTCACCGAGGCCGACTACCTGAGCTCGCACCTGACCGAGGGCCCGCACCGCGTCGTGGCGCACCTGTACGCGCGGCAGCTGACGCTGGAGCAGCTGCACGCCGTGGAGATCAGCGCGGTGCACTCCCGCGACCACGGGCTGGAGGTGGGGCCGCCGCCCGGGCCCCGCCCCGCCCCCGCCCCCTCCCCGGGCTGGCTCTGGCCCGGCGGAAGGCTCCGAGGGGCTCCGAGGGGCCCCGGGCGGGCGTCGGGGAGTCGCTGGCCCCCAGCAGTGGGATGAGATGGGGCCTGGGCTCCCTCAGCGCTGTTACTCCGCTTCGCTGCCTGCTATTGCCAATCCTGGGAATGGGTGGGAGGCGGGGAGGGGAGGGGCGCGGGGAGGGGGAGGCAGGGCCCCGGGATGCCCGGGCGTGGGGGTCCTGGGAGGCTTGGGAAGCATGGGGCGTATGGGAGGGTGGGGTGCCGAGGGTGGGGAGCGCATGGCGTCGGCCTGGAAACGCTCCCAGCAGCTGGCTGGCTGCTGCCGCTCCAGACTTGCCCTCTGGCTTCGTGGCTGGTGGGCTCCCGTCAGGGTTGTGCCTCTGCATGGAGGGTCCGCCCCAGTTCTGGCCTCGTGCCCTGCAGGTGCTGGGCCTCGTGCGTGTCCCACTGTACACCCAGAAGGACCGGGCAGGCGGCTTCCCCAACTTCCTGAGCAACGCCTTCGTCAGCACCGCCAAGTGCCAGCTTCTGTTCGCCCTCCAGGCTCTCCACATGATGCCCGCAGAGAAGCTGGCAGAGGCCGTGGCCGCCGCCACAGAGAAGCAGAAGAAGGCCCTGGAGAAGCTGCTTCCTGCGTCCTCCTAGGTGCTTCCTGTGTGGCTGTCACCCTCTCCTGGCTCTGTCTGCCCATGGGCCCTGGAATTCCGTGGACGTGTGCCTTCCGCGTGTGTGTGTGTGTGTGTGTGTGTGTGAGGAGCAGGCAGCTGATCATGTCTGCTGCCCCTCTCAGTGGATGACCTGGGCTTGGCTTTCCACACTCAGGATATTCTGTCCACTCCTAGTCTCAGACCCTCCTGTGAATGAGTCCGTGGCTAGTGCAGGCCCTGGGCAGGCTGCCTTTCCCAGGGGGTCGGTGCAAAGCCCTGCTGGGGAAAGGCTGCTGTTGAGGTGGCTGGTTTGGATGGAGGAGGCCCCTCATCAGGTCACTGGCTTGGGACAGGACCTTGTACTGTTAATTTTGGTGGTTGTTGGGTTTACTGCGTTAGATTTCCTCTTTCATGGAGTGTGAACTGTGGGTGAGGCTTCAAAGTAGCTTCACTCCGTGTGGCTTGGTTGCTAGGGACAGTGAGGGCCTCAGGGCCATAGCTGTGTGTGGAGTTGTTGAAGGACAAAGACAATAAAGTCACTCCTCCGCTGCTGTGGTGTTTGCTTCTAGACGGACACCCAGGGCTGGGTTCGGGCGCCTCCCCAACCTAAGTGGGTCAGGAGCACCACTTAGGCATCTGTTCCCTGCACCTACTGGAGCACTACCCACCTTTTGACTTGTGCTAAGTCCTTCATATCAGGTCCTTTCCTGACCCTGGTAGCTCTGGCTGCACTAAGTTGCTGCTCTGGCCTCCACTTTGAAAGCTGCCTCCCTCCATCCTCAGCACAGGCTTAGTGCGAAAGAGTGTCGCTGCAGAGCTGCCATGGGACAGGAAGTCCTCCACATGGAAAAACTGGAGGTAGTGTGGCTGGAAAACCCACAGCCAGCAACCAGCCTGGGAAGGCAGGCAGCACTACAGCTGCCAAGTGCACAGCAGAGGTCTGGGTGGGGAGAGGCACTGCTTTAGTGAACCGCCTGGCCCTCGCACGCTGCTCTCCAGGCAGCTTTCGAATTCAGTCAAGTCAGACTCCATAGAATCGCATGGGCACCTGAAGCAAGGGTGGCACATCATAAGCCAGCTGGTGTGGCACATGACCAGAGTTGAGCTAGTATTTCATTTTATTTTCCAACAAGTGGCACATTTTCTCCCCATCCCTGTCTGCGTTGTAAGGTCAGAGCTCAGTATGGCCCCTGCGTGGATGGAGATGCACTCTCTCATGACCCTGACTGGGCTGGGCTGGAGCAGCCCCCGAGCTTGGGGCCTGACCACTGGGATCTGGGTGCGAGGTCCTCGTACTGCCTTAGTGGTAACCTGAGCTGCCCTGGCAGCGGCCACAGCCCTGTCCTGCCTGCCTGCAGCCTGCTCTCTGAGCTGATCCTCAGCAACCCCCCACCCCTGGGGGCCTGGCTGCTGCGGCTGCCTGCTCTTCTGTCTTCAGGGTGGATGGCTCACCCGACGTCAGATTCTAAAGACGAAAAGGCTCTGGTGAGAAGGGACAGAACCGCTGGGGGGAGGGAAGTGACTACCCATGCGTACGTTCAGGTACATCTTTGGGGTGGGCAGATGTTCACTCACCAACCCTCCTCACTATGGCTCCCGCCACTTCTCCTTCCCGTTCAGTACCTGCAGCTTCTCCAGGCTCTGGGTCACTGAAGTCAGCATGTGCCCTGAGGACATGGCAAGTGGTTAGTGCTCTGCCCAGCAAGGGAAAGGAGGGTGGCTGGGCACTAGGAATCAATGACCTTGAACAACTGTTTCCTGAGCTCAAATGAGACTGCCCAGGGGTCTGAGCTGACAGTGTGGGGCCTGTCCCACAATGGCCAGGGACCCTGGCGAGTCCCTCTTCCTCCCTCCCACTGAAGTCCAGTGCCCAGCTGGGAGCTGAGGCAAGGCCTCCTGAAGACTCACCCATCTCCCTGACCCGGTCTTCCAGAGCTTCCGACAGCTCGGGGAGGCTCCTGGCCCGCAGGGACACGTGCCAGCCTTTGGAGTCTGTGGTGCGGAGGAGTGGGTTAGCCCGCCTCTTTCCCAAATCCCAGGGATCAGGAGACCCTCCCCACCCAACTCACAAGCACCAGCACGGCTGAGGCAGGGCCCCTGGCATGCTCTTCCCCACCTGGGAGTTCATGAGGACAGAAAGACTTGTGACGTCAAAACCTGCCAGGCCAATCTCAGCCCCAGGAGGAAGTGAGGGTCCCCAGCCAGCTGTGTCCTGGAGTGGCTCCAGCTACCCACTGAACAGAAGTCACTAGAGGTCTCAGCAGACCAACTGGCCCAGCACAAGGACCAATCTCCACATTGTGGTTGCTGTGTCTCCCCCAGCAGGAGGACAGCACATCTCCCATCACAGGTGAGCAAGGAGGCTTGGTTCTGGGACACCTTTCTCATTGGCTCCTAAGAGTCCCACACAAGGACGTGGGGCAAGGATGCCAACATGGCAGCCATTCAGAGACCTCTGGATGGAACCTGGTTTGGAACTTGCTGCCCAGCCCAGACCAGAGCCAAGCTGTTACTCTCTCCTTACCTGCTGGAGGGAGGGCTGGGTTCCAGGTGGCTGTGTTGGGGTCCTGCCTCACTCGGGCTGACAGCTCAGCTTGACAGGCTCTGTTGGACATAGATCAAGTGCTGGTGAGCCAGAGTCCCCACTTCTAAGCCCCACAACTGTTCCCAAGGGGGAGGAGACCCACACAGATAAATCAGAGAGGCTGGTGCAGATCCTTACCACCTGGGTCGCCCTGTGGGGGAAGAGCTGACAACCCTGGGCCCCAGAGCCAGGTGACAGCCCCTGGCTGACAGCAGGAAGACCTGCCCCACAGCTCTAGCCCACTCACCGCAGCTGTTCCAGAACGAGGGCAGCACCCTGGGCCAGGGCCCAGGTCTCCTGCAACTGAGCCTGGATGTCCTTGCGGGCACCATCCTGCTCCAGCAGGCAGCTCTCCACCACAGCACGCAGCTCCTGCTCCTGGGACACCTGGCCACGCATGGCCTCCACCTCCTCACAGCGCTGCAGGACAAACACCAGGCTGGAGAGTCAAAGCCAATAGAAGCCATGGCTGGGCTGGGCCTTCCACACAGGGACTGGAGTTGGTCATGCTGTCTTCTACCTCTTCCTCTTCTCTCTACCTTGGCGCCTGCACTGGGGCTTGCTCCCTGGATTCTAACCCTCAGGCTTGGTGCTGCCTCTTCTCTGCTGTGTCCACCTGCCCTCCTCCCTCCTCCCTATGCCACTTCAAGTTTCTCTGTGGCAGTGGCCACCTGGATCTGCTGCTTCTCTAACCTGACTGGGTCTTCCCCATTCTGTGTTCTTCACTGCAGGGGAGCAGCTCTAGGTGCCCATGGCCCCTGTATGTGCCGCCCTTCCCTGCGCTCCCCACTTGCTTTGTGCAGCTGGATGGCGAGCTCCTGCATCTCGGCCTCCAGCCGGTCAGCATACGCCAGCTCCAGGGCATCACTGGGGGGACGGGCACTGCTGTGCCAGCGGGCAATGGCAGACGTCATCTTCCTCTTGGGCCCAAACAACCTGTGAGGGTAAATCAGAGCCACATGTCAGCACCTGCTGCATGAGTGGAGCCTCCATTGACCACCCTGCTGTCAGGGAACTCTCAGCTCTGAGAATCTAAGGGCAAAGGACAGAAAAATAGGGCAACCAAAAACCTTTCTGCCTACTTCAGACTGTGGACAAGCATGCCCTCTTGCGGAGCCTGGCAAGGTGAATCCATCCTGGATTCTGGGGAAATCCCCAGGAATCTGTGTCCCCATCCAGACGGTGCCTGGCAGATTGAGTGGGCAGCTTGGACAGTAAATGCAGTCAGCTCATGCAAAGTCTAGCTCTGAGCACAGGAGCAGCTACCCAGGCCCACAGCCTGCAGACCCCAGTGTGGGCAACAGACCTTGTCCTCTAGGACCAGTGACTTGTGCTGGTCAGAGACACAGGTCCCCCTGCTTCTCCCCACCCCATACCTCCCACACAGTGGTATCTGGGGATTCAAAGGGCAGCACTTTCTTCTTCAGCGCCCCATTTGAGAGCCAGACATTAAGATGAGGACACTCAAAACCAACTACAGATGAGAAAAATTAGGAAGTCACCTTACAGGACTAGGGAGACATCAGGTCTGCACCTTGGGCTGAGCCTCACTTCAGAGGAGAGGCTCCCACAGCTAAGATGACAAAAGCTGGTTCTCACAGTCCCTACGGTATGATTACGTCAATCAGCTCTCAATAACATAAAACACCTAACAGACTCAGGCCCATTTAAAGAGAAAAAATTACAAAACTGCCCCTGAGTTCAAGCCTCAGTACTGCAAAAAAAAAGAGTATCTTAAACATGCTCAGAGAACTAAAGGAAGATGTGGAGAAAACCTGAAAAGAAAGCAAGAAAACACTGGAGCAGGAAAGGATAGGACTGAAATAAAAGATTCACTAAAGAATCAATGGCAGGTCTGAGCAGGCACAGGAAGAACTGCAACCTGGAAGGGGAGACTACGCAGGTTACTGGGTGTGAGGGAACACCAAGTGTGCTAACACATGGTGGGAACCCCATAGTAAAGAGAGGAAAGGCAAGGAGTATCTGAAGATCCACTGGCTGAAAACGTCCCCAACATGATCAAAGACATGAATATAAACACTAGCTGCCCAAAGAACTCCACGAATGGTTAATACAAAGACAGCAAAGCCGGGATACACGGTGTTAAGGAACAAGATTCTGGAAACGGCTCAGCATGTACAAGGGATCCTCAATAAAATTACCAGCAGATTCACATTAGAAACTTAGGGCATGGCTGAAGTGTCAGAGTACCTGTAATAGCAAGTGCAAGACCCTGAGTTCAAACCCAGTACTACAAAACAAAACTGGGAGCAGAGGGCCACATTCAAGGTGCCAGAGGAAATAACTGTCAACCAAGAATCCCTTACCTGGCAATACTGTCCTTCCAAAATGAGGGAGAAGTTAAGATCGACCCAGATAAGCAAAGGCTGAGACAGCAAGTGCCCTAGACCTGGTGTGCAGGGAACAGAGGACACTGGGTGGCCCTAGAGCCAGGTGAGGAAGAAAACTCACTGAGCAAAGGGCTTTGAGGCACGGAGGGGACTGGAGCTGGAAGGGCCCCTGTGAGTAGAAATGTGCATACAGGACGTTTCAAGACAAAGGATTTCAATTATTTGGATTTTATACCCAAGATCTAGTGAAATAACAGACCTGTGCTGTTAGTCCACTACCTCTAGTGGAACTGACAATCATCATTTGTAGAATTCTTTGTTCTGATCATGAAAAATATTCAAATCCTAAAGAAGTGGACTGGCAATCCACGGCCCTCATGCATGTGTTAGCCATGCCATCTTGGAGCCCTTTGTACCTACACCAGGTGGCAAGAGAGGAAACCACATCTGAACAGGGCAGCTCTTCCCCATTTGGGGATGAAGGTTGGGAAGGAAGGTGTAACTTGGCCCCAGAATAATTGGTTGAAATGAGGAAGTGGGGGCAGACATGGCTCCTGGGGACTCACGTGATGCCAATCTCCTTCAGGTCACTTTCGGTGAGGGTCAGGAAGATGCGCAGGTCCACGTCCTGCTCCTCGAACAGTTGCAGGTATTTCAGACACCCAATCTGCTCCAGCAGCTCAGCCAGATCCTGGAGGGCAAAGGAGATGGTGAGAGGCAAGGTGGCAACACAGAGCAAGTTCCCTGCTTACTAAGTGCAGGGATTGCCCAAGCTCAGCTCCAGGACCAGGACTCTATAAAGAGCATTAGTGAAGCTGCGAGCTGCTCCTCTTCCTGCCAGGGTTCTTGTGGTGCCAGTTCTAGTGCGGCTCTTCTTGTCCTGCATGGAGCGCGAGACGGGCAGATGTGGGCTGTGGATCCAGCTGGGCAGACTGGTCCGTCTGCTCCTCTCGCCTCTTGGAACACTGCAGTGAGGGTTGGCTTTATGGTGTCAGGGGTCTGCTGGTTTTTGTTTCTCATACTAAGTGGCCTGTGTCCGCTGACGCCCCTGCCTGCTCACACTGCTGCTGAGCTTATCTGAGACTTCCTTTCACTTGCACTTTTCAACACCAGTGTTTCTATTTTTGCAAGTATTTTGTTTGGAATGGGTGAAGAAACTTTCGAATGTTGTCACTCCACTGCTGTCCTTAAGCTCCGGCTGGACCACCAGCTCTCTAGTCAGCCTGGTGAACAGCCTTAAGGTGCACCTGCCTGCTAAGCTGCCCAAGCCTAGGAAGGATTTCAGCAGAAGCCAACAAATCTACGGTGCTCAGGGACCGTGGAAGTGGCACTTTGAAATAAGTGACAACTACTTGCATCTTTGCACCTCTCACACCTGCACAGGGAGGAAAGCTCAGCAGACACATATGTATGCTAGAGGCTGAGCTGCTGAGTCACACCTGTGCCCCTACAATGCCAGACTGTGCACAGTGAGGAAGAAGCTGTGTGTTATGTGCTATCCTTGTCACTGCTGCTTGTGCATCCTGTCACTGACTTCTGGAAGTAGGTCTGAAGTCAGACCTGTCCTTCTCCCCACACTTGGGAAGACCAAGTCCAATAACAGCTCCTTTCTGCAGAGAGGGACAGACAACAACCATGCAGCTAGCGAGCTGACCATCAGGAGTCATCTCTAGGCTACCTGAGAAAACCCACCACCCCCAGTTCCAGAGGTGCCATCTTTCCAAGCTTGCAGCCAGCAGTTTCACAGATCATTTTACCTGGGGTCCTGAGTAGGGGGGCCTCTCTACTTGGGGGACAGATCCTGGGGAACAGGCTGCCCCAACAGTCCCAGTGCTGGGAGGCCACTGGCTGTCACTGTTGCTGTAGCGATTCTTGGTCTTCATGTAACTTTTGGTTTGTTTGCGAACAGAGCTTTTGCGAGTGTGATCTGAATCCTGCAGGAAGAGATGTGTGTTCTGGGAGAAACTCAGTGCTCATAACCCTCACCCTGCTTTTGGCCCCCCTTCTGCCTTGGCCATGTGGACCTGTGCCATTTCCTTCTTGGGATGGGTGAGACTTGAAGCCCTGAGTGAAACGCCCCCCTGCCACATAGCAGTGGCTTCCCCTGCAGCACCTGCTGCCAAACTTGGGCCTCAGTGGTCTTCCAAGCACAGCACAGACGCACATTAGACACTCACCTACCCCACCACACCAGGGGAGGGAGGGAGACCCCACCTCGTTGCTCTCCAAGGACGCTTCACTGCTGAGCCCCTGGGCTCTTGTTAGGCCCTCGCTGCTGCTGCTGCTCCGCACTGCCCCGAGGCTGACACAGAAAGTGGGCTCCTCTGTAGAGGGAAGACAGGACAGAGCCTTGCACAGAGGGGACCTGTACTTGCTTGTTTCACGCTGTCTCCTCGATCTGTCCTGGCCCTCCCCCATGCAGGTGGGCAGGTGCTGTCCTTTCTGTGCAGTGCTAAGTCCCGAGTGCCTAAAAGAGTGCTCAGCACAAGGTGGGCCCTCAGGAAGCAGCTCCTTCTGGGAGGACTGCTGGGCCAGCCAAGGAGCTGACCCCCTCCAGTTGTGGGAACCTTGGTCCAGAAGCTTCCCTCACCTGCCCCATGGCCGACTCTGGTTTTCCTCACGAGAACTGGGGCCTATCTTTCTCCTTCTCTATGGGAGCCCAGCAGGATGGGGGGGCGTACCCCGGCTGCTGCTGCTGCTGCTCTCCACATCCCGCTCATTGATTGGGGAGGTGACGTCCCGGTAGCAAAGGCCCTCCCCTTCCAGGGGGTTCTCGTCACTGCTGGTGAAGGTCACATAGCCCCGTGGTGGCACCTGCTCTGTGTACAAAATGGGGCATGTAAACCCACATGAACACTAGTGAAGACACCCTGTGCCAAATCTCCCCCACCCCTCAACAGGCTTGTGAGATGAGGGGAACCCAGGAGCTAGGCAGGCAGCATCACAGCTGTCATTTCATCTCCCTGCACTGTCACCTGCAGTTGGCAGTCACCTGCAGGTGAGCAGTTTGTTTCCCACAGGAAGTGCCTAGTGGAGCCAGGCAACACCCACAGCAAGCAAGCCAGGCTTCCTCAGTCCTCACTAGCACTTTCTCAAGGAACAGGTCATGGCCAGCTGCATGCACGGACTCCTGGGCACAGGATAATACGCCATAGGTGCTCCCCCACCCCCACCCACTGGGGGTCTTTGAAAGGACCCTGTGTCCCTGCAGTAGAAGTGGGCAGCACCAACACAAAGTTCCATAACCTATGGGCACATGTGCCCTTGAGAAATAAGTAGAAGCTGGGTAGGGCATGGCGGTTCATGTCTGTAAACCCAGCACTCGGGAGGTGAAGGCAGCATGACTGTGAGTTTGACGCCAGCCTGGGCTATATAGTAAGACTGTCTCAAAAAATGAGGGGGGCAAAAACCCGTGGAATCTAGTCGCTGTAGTCCCAGCACTTAGGCCCAGGGGTCAGGGCCAGTGGGGCACATGGCGATTCTCTGCCTCAAACCCAAAACAGCACTGCTTGGAGACCAGAGTGTGGGAAGTGCATTCCCCGGGCTCTGCCCTGGAGGCCCATTCACCTCCACACCCAGGGATGTGGGTAGAGCCAGGGCACGGGACTTCAGACGTCCTCACACAGTTGACCCATCCATGCAAGAACATCTAAGCTTAGCTAATTTGGAGAAAAACTCCTAATTTTAGCCTTGAAAAGGAAAATCAAACCCAAGAGCTAGCCAGTGAGCTACCTGTTCCTGTTACCAAGGTCAACTCTGAGTCTTGCTCCTGCTCACTGCAACCCTGGGACCCACATTTCTGGGACTGAAAGTTCTGTGCCCCTCAAGATTGAATCTTGGGGACATGATCCCAGTGAGATGCCAAGAACCAGGGCTGCTCACCATAGCCAGGTGGTGGGGTCTTGCCTCCCAGTCCAATGGCTGTGATCCTTGCCAGGGCTCGTGGCCCCTCATGGATGCTAAGGCCCCTCTTCCGACACGGCCTGTGTCTCTGAGGACCTGGGCAGGATTCATCTGAAGAGCTCAGATCTTCGTATTTTTCTGCTGGTCAAACATCAAAAGTAAGACAATCTATTCAGTGGACAAATTTACCAATATTTATAGTAAACTAGAGAAAGAAAATAATTCTAACTAGCTGGGCTCCAGTAGCTCACACCTGTCATCCTAGCTACTTAGGAGGCAGAGATCAGGAGGATCACAGTTTGAAGCCAGCCCAGGCAAACAGTTCACAAGACCCTATCTTGAAAAAACCCATAACAAAAAAAGGGCTTGTGGAGTGGCTTAAGGTGAAGACCCTGAGTTCAAATCACAGTCTACCAAAAAAAAAAAAAGTCATAACTAGTATTCTTAAGAAGAAAAGTGTGTTTGTCCAGACTTGGGAGAAATGCCATAACTGGCAGTCCACTGCTCAGGGAACATAGGGAACAGAAAACTTAGCTCTGACTTTAATTCATACGCCTATCTGTCTGGGTTTTCAGAGTTGAAGATAAGTAAATCACTGCCTCATAAAAATATGATAACATTGGTCACAGACTGCCAAGCAATTTTGTATTTTTCCAGCTGAATGACATCTCGGGAAGTGAATACCATGTGTGCTATGTTTTAAAAAGTAGTTTAAATACCTGCCCTGTCTGAGCTCCCTTTTTGTGTGTGTGTGACTGGGGTTTCAAACTCAGTGCTTTGCGCTTGTCAAGCAGGCCCTGTCTAAGCTTTCAGGGCACATTACGGGACTGGAGGTATGGCTTAAGTGGTGGAGCATATGCAGGGAAAACAATAATAGATTGTTTTGTGGGGAAAGAAAGAAAGATTCAGAAGTTTTCAATAGTAATAAGTAAAGGAGACCTACAAAGACACAAACTGAATCTTACACTGGATAATAGGACATTTTCTTCTCAAGGACATACAAAGCAAAAAAAAACTCCTATCATTGGGTACAAGGAAACCATCAGTACTTCTACAAGATGGAAGAATTATAAATACTGGTAAGATAACTTAGAAAACAGAACAAAATAAAATGAGAAATTAATCACACAAAAAGGCCCTTCCAACTAGAATGTAAACCCAAAAATACTGGGCTGGCAGAATAGCTCAAGCAGTAAAGTGCCTGCCTTGCAAGCATAAGGCCCTGAGTTCAAACCCCAGTGTTGCCCCAAACAAAACAAGAAATACAAAAATACCACAAAACTTCTATTAAAGAACTGTTGGGTGAAAGGGGAAAACAAATCAAAATTACAGAATTTCTGGCCAAGTGGCACATATATGTTTATAATCCCAGCTACTCAGGAGGCAGAAGTCAGGAGGATCCAGGTTAGAGGCCAGTCCTGGCAGAAAGTGAGCAAGATCTCATCCCAACCAAAGCTGGATGTGGTGGTGCAGTGCACGCCTGTCATCACAGCTATGCAGGAGGCATAAACAGGAGGATCAGGGTCCAGGCGGGCCCGGACAAAACATGGACCCTATTCAAAATAAAGCATAGGGGCTGGGGGTGGCTCCGCTGGTAGAGTGCCCAGCAAGCACAGGGCCCCGAGTTCAAGTCCCAGAGCCACCAAGAGTCACACACACACCCTTCCTGAAAAATAGTGATAACAAAAGCGCTACATAACAGAGTCCCTGGGCTGCACTCAAAGCAGTGACCGGCGAGGATCCACGGCCTCAATCACTCATGTCAATAAAAGGCAGGCAGGTAATAAAAAGAAATGAATTAAATCCCTGAATAAAACAAAACAAAACAAAACAAAAAAGCCCACCACAGTAAACCAAAAACCGAATAAAAGCAGAACTTAATGAAGTAGAAAAGTACAGTCAGTAGATTTAATTAAAATCCCATGGCTTTTCTTTCACTATGCAGACAAAGCACTTCCAACTTAAAGAGAAAAACAGCACAAATACACAAAGAAGTAACCACTGAAGCATGTTTTAAAAAAGAGAAAGACAGCTACTTTGCAGACCTCTACAAACATCTGAAATCTTAAACTAATACAGTCACCAAAATGGACTCCAGTAAAAGCAGAAAGCTTAACTAAGAAGACTAGTTTGTATAGAATGAGCAGAAAGACTTATCAAGAAAACCCTCCAAAGAGAGAAGTGGCTCGACAGTGTCATGGGGAGTTCCAACAGCCTTCTAGGACCAGGGAATGCTGACACCTCACAAACCATTCTAGCACAAAGATGGGGAGGACAGCTTCCAAATTCCATATGAAACAAGTACAGAATCAACCCCTGCACCTGATAAACAGAGACCAAAACCAGAATATTACATACCCGCATCTCTTAAGAATGAAAATCCATACCATGCCAAGAAAATGTCAATAAACAGACCCCAAAACACATTAGGGAAAAAAGAAATCACCAAGTGGGATTTATGCCCAGAATGTATTGAAGTTGGACTATTACTAGAAAACGCATTAATATGATGCACTATATTAAGACAACCAGGCATGGTGGTACACGCCTATAATCCCAACACATGGGAGACTGTGGCAGGAGAATCACAAATTCAAGGCCAGCCTGGGCTACACAGTGAAACCCTGACTCACAAAACAAAACAGAAAGCCAAAGAGCACCAGTGTGAAAATTCACCATCATCTCCATAGATAGAGGGAAAGTCCTTGACAAAATTCAACAGCTATTCCTTTTTAAAAAACAAATACTTAAGAACATAGAATTAAAAAAAAAAGAAAATTCATAGTTCTCCTAGCTGAATAAAAAACATAAATATAAAAATAAATAAATAAAAAAGAAAATGTGGTATCTATACACAATGGAATTCTACTCAGCCATGAAGAAGAATGAAATCTTATCATTCGCAAGTAAATGGATATAACTGGAGAACATCATTCTGAGTGAGGTTAGCTGGGCTCAGAACACCAAAAATCATATGTTCTCCCTCATATGCAGGCTTTATACCTAAGGCAAATACAGCAATGTGGTTGAACTTGGATCACATGACAAAAGGAGAGCACATACGGGAGGTGTGGGGTTAAAAAAAATAAAAATAAAATAAAAAAAAAAAAAGAACATAGAATTGTCAGGCACCAGTGGCTCACGCTTGCAATCCTAGCTACTTGGGAGGCTGAGATCAGAAGGATCCCAGTTAAAGCCAACCTGGACAAATAGTTCTCAAGACCCTCATTTCCAAAATAACCAGAGCAAAATGGGCTGGAGGCATAGCTCAAGTGGTAGAGTGCCTGCTTTGCAAGTGTGAAGTTGCACTCAAATCCTGATGGCTCACGCCTGTAATCCTAGCTACTCAGGAGGCAGAGATCAGGAGGAATGCAGTTCAAAGCCAGCCTATGCAAATAGTTTGTGAGGATCTATCGTGCAGGAAAACAAACATCACAAAAAAGGCTGGTGGAGTGGTTCAAGGTGTAGGCCCTGAGTTCAAGCCCCAGTACTGAAAAAAACAAAAACAAAAACAAAAAAACAAAATAATCCCATACCCACCTTACTCTCTCACAGCTAGTCTCTTACTTAACCTGGCATTTCTGCTAAGATTGAGACTAAGGTAGAGCTAGCTGTGCACGGGTTCTGCTGTGTTCACTACAGTACTAGAGGTGTTTGCAAGGAAACAAAGAAATGACGTATAAGAATCAGAAATGGTGAATCATCTCCATTTGCAGATTATGTAACAGTTACACCCAGAAAGCCCAAAGAATCAACAGTAAAAACAACTCCAATTAGAGTTCAGCAAGGGCTGGGGACAAGTGATAGAGCACCTCCCTAGCAAGCACAAGGCCCTGAGTTCAAATCCCAGTTCTGCCAAAAAAAAGTTCAGTAAAAGCAGAGTATAAAATTAGCATACAGGGACTGGATCCCTCTTTTTAAGAGTGAAGTCCTGAGCTCAAACCCTAGTCCCACCAAATAAATAAATTAGCATACAGAAATCAACTGCCTTTTCTATAAAAACACAGATGGAGAGAAGGCAGCAACTGTCAATAACCAGTTAAACCACATAACAGCAGACAAGACCCCATTTATTACAGCAGCAAAGATGATAAAATTCTTCACTAGAAGCCTAAGTTATAGGCAATGTGTATCTGAGAAAAAATTTAAAACCTTCCTACAAGCCCCAGCAGTACACTGTACAAAAACATTCCTTGTTCTTGGATGAGATGACTCAACATAAGACACATCAATTCATAAATTTACTGCATCTCTTTTTGGTACTGAGAACTGGGTCCAGAGCTTTGTATGTGTCGGGTGGACATTCCGACACTTGAGTCACACACACCACCACCCAGTCCTTCTGTTTATATTTTGTTTTTGAAACAGGATCTTGTTACCTTTTGCTCAGGCTGGCCTCAAACTTGTGATCCTCCTACCTCTGCCTCCTGTGTAGCTGGGATTACAACTGTGCACCACCGTGGCTGGCTCGTACTACAATCTTAATAAAAAGGCCAACACTTTGTAGAGAGTGAGGCAACTCAAGTTCATACAGAAAAAAAATAACCAAAAACTGGGGAAACACTGAAAAACTGAACTCAATAGTACAACATTCCACAAAAATACTGATCAAACTGTGGTTTTGGTTCATGAATATAGAGACCAACAGATTCAAAGACTAGGAAAGCCCCAAGGAAGATGGACATTCAGTATGACAATGGCGATGTCTCCAAGCTCTACATTAAAGATGACTTTCACAAATTCCAAAATTTTCAGTAAAGAGTAAAAGATGTGTAAGCACCCAATGCACAGAAAGTGATGAAATGAAGCTTTCAGTGTTCAAATATTGAGTAATTCTGACAGTTCTGAGAACAGCTGAGCAGACTGAGCTGTTCCTACTCATTTTCATGTGTAACACTCAACACCTGTCATTATTACATGCACACTTACCCAATGTGGGAAAGACGCTGAGGGCATATTCTCTCGTTAAACTTTATGAACGAATTACTATGATGGGCAAATGTGCTACTTAAAGACTGTCCAAGAAAAACTGCACAAATAACTTCATAAGAAATGACACAAACCATTACATTTTGGGTTAGCAATTTAAACTTGATTACAAATGCAACTAAGTTTACGAAGTTCTATCATTAGTTTTGTTTTCCTATGATTATGACGACTGCTTTTCTGAACTCTTGGTATGAAAATATGAATGGGTAAGAGACAAGAAAATGAATCAAATGATTGCTAATCAAGAAGTATATCAGAAAATCTTGTGTTGTTTCTTAATCACATGCAAATTACATGCAATTTCAGCATTTGGTAGCTCCTAATTCAGTACCATTATTTTCCTTGTAGAATAAAAAGCAAACACACAAAAAAAAGACGATTTTCACATAATGATGCTATAGCCATTTGGAAAAAGATAAAGTAGGATCCACACCTCACATCACGTGTGAGAAAAACATACACACGGATCAGAGATCTAATTAAAAAATGAAACCATACAAGTGCTAGAAAATTCCTTACGAGGGATTAGAGAAAGAGACGCAGGGAGGGGACTGCCCCTCTCTCCCAGTGTCCCGACACCATGGTGGTGGCAGATGCAGGTACCTGGACTGCGGTAGGGGGTCTTGGGTAGAGCAGGGGAGTGAGTGTCCATCAAGGCCACTATCTTCATGTGTCCATACTGCTTGGCCAGCATCCGAGCTGTGGCTCCGCTGTGGTCTCTCATGTCCACTTCAACTCCCTGTGAAGGTTGGGAAAGTAGGGTCAGGAAGCTCTCTGTCAAAGGCCCCCGCGCTCACTGGACCTCTGGCCTGGGAGAGACGATGGAAAACTTGGCCAGCTTCTGAGCACCAACCTGGGTATGAAAGACACCACATCCCAGGAAGGAGGTACAGGCCTGGTTGGCTCACTGCTGCTGGCTTTGCGCTCCCTATCTCCTGGTCATCAGGGGAGTGGGCCACCTGGCACTGTCACCAAGGGCAGTCACCATGCCATCTTGAAGCTGCAGCAACTATCCCCTCCCAAGTGCTACTTGCCAGGTGTGTGACCTCACCTGGCAGATGCAGAATGAATAGGGGCTGCCCCACTCTGGTGGGGTGACACAGGGCTGACGATGGAGCCAGCCAGGCGAAGGGTCCTCCACGCCCTGCTATTTGGCCTCATTCTTCCCCACAGAACACAGGAGGCTCCAGCTCACTGGAGAAGGAGCCCCGTATTATAGGCCATCCCCAGAAGGTGGCTCTACTCTCTGAAACTGAACTTGGCACCTTCACCCAAAAGTCTAACGTGTTTACGGTCTTTCCACATACCCATACACATCTGTGACTCCATCCTGAGGAAGCAGCCCTCATAAGAAAAAGCTTTATGCACAAAGACATTCAACACAGCTTACCTGCAGCAACAAATACGGAAAGGCAATTTAAATGCTGGCGAGTGTTACCATTTACAAATAGCTGGGATGGTTTGTGTTTGTTTTCACTTTCCCTGAGACAGTTGGTTGCCTGGAACTTGAGATCCTCCTGCTTCAGTCTCCTAAGTGCTAAGATAACAGGGTGCCCCACCATGCCGAGCACAAATAGTTGGGATGGCGAAGTTTAAAAAATGATCGTGAGCCAGCACAACAATAATAAAACAAAAAAACGTAATAAATAAAAGTAAACTTAAAAAATTTTTAAAAAGGGTTATGATATAAAACTACATGTGTGTCACAACTGCAGCCAAAAAGGACAAAACAGAAGATGCGCAGGAAACAATACTAGAGGAGCACGCTCCAAACGTTACTTTTTAAGCAGGAAGATCTTGGGGGTTTCCATCTTTCTAGTCATCTATAATTTCTAAATACACTACCAGAAGCATGTTTATTTCGAAACTGGAAATGTCCAATAAGTTTTCTACCTTAAAGGCTAAGCCACACTTCCCTACCAAACCTTAGGGCCGCCAAAAAGAAAAAAAGTTCACCCATACAGCATTCTCACATCCGATGGGGCAAGCTGGCCCCCAAGATTCTACAGGACAAATCAGCAGGAGGAATTTAGAAGTGCTACATCCCACGATCCAGAGGTTCTACTTCTAGGAAGTTTAACCTAAAGGAATAATTAAAGACATAAACTAAAATTTAGGATTTTTACTTCAGCAGTCAGCATAGTGAGAACCAAAAAGAACCTGAATGGGGTCTGTGAGCTCATGGAGAGCAAACCACAGAGCACTTCCAGCCATTCACACGGGAGGGAAGTGGGTACAGCGACAGGGACGAGCATGCACAAAGCATCACAGAGAAAGAACAGATTACCACGCCTGCAGGTTGTTTCCACTTTTTGGCCATTCTGAACAATCCTGTTAGGGACATTTGTGTACAAGCTTCTGTGTGGACACAGGTTTTCAATTCTCTCTGGTACACACCTAGGAGCAGAACTGATGGGTCCTATGGTAACTCTTGGTGTAACGGTTTGAAAGAGCCTGCACCATTTCAACTTCTGTCAGCAGCCCAGGGAGATTCCAGTCTCTCCACAGCCCCACTAACGTTTGATATTGCCCTTTTTTTTTTTTGTGGTGGTACCAGGGTTTGAACTGAGGGCCTCACTGATACTGCCTTTTTCATTGTAGACATTTTTTTTTTTTTTTTGCGGTACTGGGGCTCGAACTCAGGGCCTACACCTTGTACCACTCCACCAGCCCTTTTTTGTGATAGGGTTTCTTCAAGATAGGGTCTTGTGAACTATTTGCCCAGGCTGGCTTTGAACTGTGGTCCTCCTGATCTCTGCCTCCTGAGTAGCTGGGATTACAGGCATGAACCACTGGTGCCTGGTCATCCTCCTACTTTTGATTTGCATCTCCTGATAATTAATAACTTCAAGCACTTTTCATATGTTTCTTAGCCATCCGGATAGCTACTGTGGAGAAATAATTCAGATCCTTTGGCCATTTCTTAATTGTCTTTTTATTAGGAACTATTAAATTTAACATCCAAGTACCAGGAAGCCTGGTTGGAGAAATACAAATGCAGAAAAAACTACAAGTATGCTAAACCTGTGTGTGAAAGGAAATTCCCCAAAACAGTTTATAACTGCAAACTGTTAGAAACCTGAATTTGTCCTAATAAGGAAATAAGTAAACTATGAATACTGTATAAGGATAAGCTGTTCATAGTACATTAAGTAATTTTTTTAAGTTGCACAATATACATAGAATTCTTTTTCTGTTCAAGACAGAAAGCTTCTAGGGTCTGCAATTGTCTCCAGGCAGCAGAGGGGGACATGAGCAGCTCTTCGTAACCCAGAGGAAGACCTCCTCCTCGTTCTACACAATATTTCAATGTAATGGGATTATGAGTGCTATTTTTTTTTAAGTTTTATATATGTGTATATATACATATATATATATATTTTTTATTTATTTATTTATTTATTTTTTTTTTTTAAAGCAGTCCTGGAGTTTGAACTCAGGACCTTACACTTGCTAGGCAGGCGCTCTACCACTTGAGCAACACCTACAGTCTATTTTGTACTGGTTATTTTGAGATGGGATCTCGAGAACTATTTGCCCAGGCTGGTCTCAAACCTCAGTCCTACCAATTTCAGCCTCCCATGTAACTAGGATTACAAGTGTGAGTGATCATTGCCCAGCTCATACCCAACTTTTATTGTTTTTTCCTGTACTGGCCTCAAACCTTGATCCTCCTAATCGCTACCTTCAGAGTTCCTAGGATTATGAGTGTGAGCCACTGTTCCTAACTGAGTGCTATTTACTTTAAAAAATTTTCCCCTAATTTTAAAGAGTATTTTTCAAAGTCATTACAGGAATATTGCCCAGCTTTCTCACCACTGAAACGTAAATACTCAAGCATCTACAATGGAAACACACAGCAGACAAAGAGCAGTTGCTTTTGTATAAGAGAAAAGCTCGCCACCGTCAGCTTCAGAGGCCCACCCCTCATCTGCTGGGACTAAGCTGCAAGTTAACAAGCAAGGCACTCACATGATTCAGAAAACACTGCACGATTATCTCGTGGCCAGCAGCAGCAGCTTCCATCAAGGGAGTAAATCCGCACGTGGGCTCCCTGCAAGATGGGGCCAGTCAGGTGGCTACAAAAGAGCAGTTCAGTCACGCAAAGCTCCCCGCTGAAGACAAAACCAAGTCAAGGCTATGTGTAGGCACGAGGGCTCATACACGTGCTCACGCTTCCTCTCCAGAGCTAGTGGGGGAGACAGGAAAAGTTAACAAGCACACTTGAACTTCATTAGCTCCTCTGGGACCATCCCCAGTGATATCTTCTGTCTGAAAGGCCAATCTCTCTCATCTTCCCTCCTCAGGGCTGTTCCCACCTGCTTCTTCTAATCTTCACTTGAATCACTTCCAGCATGCAGCTCTTCCACTCCTCACAGAAAGTTAACATCCCTGCCCCTCTGCTAATGCCATCTTTCCAGTTCAGCATCCTCATGAAGCACTCCTGAAAAGTTCACGCACTGGTAGTCCCAGTCCCACCCACCCTACTGCTAATGGTGAGCACCGTTACCCTAGCACAATCCTCAGAGGTACCTGTTTGGGGCTGGTCCAGAAGCCAGGAGTCATGCTAAATCCTGCCTCTCATCCCTTCTAAGACACATACTTTCCACACCCTAACATCTCTGAAGTCAGAATATGTCTTAAAATCAACACATGAACTGAATTTTAATTCGCAGGGTTTTTCCTACAGTGGATGCTGTTGGCCAGGGGGCTGTGCACATACTTGCTATGTTGAAAAGGGATTATTCTGCTTTAAACAAGAAAACCACTTCTAGCTTATAAAACTCAGGATGGGGTGAGGTATGGCTCAGAGGCAAAGTGCTTGCCTAGCATGGGTAAGGGCCTGAGTTCCAACCCCAGCACTGCAAGGAAATAAAACAACCTCACGATGTTTTTCCAGAGCTTCACCTCCCTTGATCTATACCACAGTCAAGAAAGAGAAAGGAATTGGCATGGAGCATATGTCATTCAAATGCCACTTGCGATGCTAGACCTGGCACATAGCACACCATGCACTTCCAACAATGCTGTCCCTTTTTCAGGCACAAAAATGAGGTTCAGAGGCCAAGAGAGATGCACCAATGTCACCTGGCAGACCTGTGAAAAGGCCTGTATGTGAGCAGGCCTGTCCATTTCACCCCTTTGTCTTAACTTCTCATGGTGAGGTGAGGTGGCTCTGCTGCTCTCCACAGAATCAGACAAGACCCAGCCCACTCCCACGGTCACCTCACATTGGCGTTCGCGCCACTGTCCAGGAGGAACTTGACCATCTGCTGGTGCCCAGCACTGGTGCAGTGGAAGAGTGCAGTCCAGCCTTGAATGTCTTTCATCTCAAGCTCCGCACCTTGCTTCGAGAGAATACAGAGTGCAGGTCACAGCCCGTCTCCTCTGCACGGAGGACAGGTGAGTTGCGCCCTCCAGGCCACCAGCTGGAAGAATCCAAAGTGATCACACACACACACACACACACACACACACACACACACTCACACACACACACACACAGGCCTGTAGTGCTTCCTGTCCTGTAAGGGTGGCTGGGGAACCCCCTGGGTTGCTGGGTCTGCGCCCCCTCATAGCTCACCTGGAGCAGGAAGTAGGCGATGCTCTCGTTGCCACAGCTGGAGGCCAGCATCAGCGGAGTCTGCCCTTCCGGAGTCGGCACATTCACATTAACCCCTGCCTCAAGCAGCAGGTGCACGATGGTATCGTGTCCAATGTAGGAGGCATACATCAGCGGGGTCCAGCCACCACCATTCTTCTTATTCAAATCTAACTCTTTCCTAAACAAACGCAAGATACGCTAGGCATGCCCAGCCACCTCACAGAGTCCAGGCAGGACAAGCCGACCTTTCAGAAGCCAGGGATGTCTGCCCCCAGACATCCCTGGGGTGGGAAAGTCAAGCAGATGTTTCCAGTTGCTGTGCGCCTGCCTTCAAAATGTCCTCAGCCCTTCAACCTTCTCTAATTCATACTCGAATGTGCCCCACCACCTCCTAGCCCAAGACCAGCTATTCTCTTCATCCACACCACCAGCGAAACAAATGGCGCTCTAGTGGGCACATGAACAAGGTCTGAAGCCACCTGTAGTCACCAGGATGGCAGGAGGAGCCACTGGGATGGAAGAGATGGAAGCTGGGGAGCGTGCTCAACACCTACCGTGCACAGGACCCCATGGCCAACACTGGTCAGGCCTGGTTTATCAGAAGAGCTGAGGCTGAGACACCCTGACCACTTGCCATCAAATAGATGGGCAGTGTGTGAGTGCAGAAAGGTACATAGAGGCCTAAGGAAAAAGGAAGGGAATGGGGTAGACAAGAACCACTGCCACCAGTTTCTCCTCTGTCATCTCACCCTACAGAAACATTCGTGAAAAATCTGTAACCTGAGAATCTGTTTTTTCTCACTGATTTCCATCAGGATTCTGGAAATGCATACTTATACAGGAAAAGAAAACAAAGTGGGTCTCCCAGCCCAAACTCTGGGGCTGGGAGTCACATTTTAGAATAATTTCCACTGTCCAGAGCAAGGTGCACAGTTACTGCGCACAGGCCTTTCACCTCACAGTTCTTGCCTCCAGCAGCAGGAATGGTTGGCAGTGCATCCACATTGATCTGAGTCTCATGGGACCCACACACTCTGGCAGTTACTTTCCGTTCACTAATGTGCCCTACTGAGTGTGGGATGTTCACCCCAGCAGCCTCTCTGGAAGAGCCTAACGGAGGAATGCAGCGGCAGCCCTGCCGGGAAGCTGCACAGACACCTCTGGAGCCAGACCTCAGTCACCCATTCATCCTTCCACTACCTTCCTTCATGAGCAGCAATTGCAGATGCAAAGTGAGGCACCCGACAAACTGGCATCTCTGAGGCTCTCCCCACTCCCTCTAAGCCCTCCAGCTGCCCTCAGGCCCACCACTCTGTGTGAGCAGCCCACTGCTTTCAAAATGCCAGTCAAGAGCACAACTGTTGCCACTCTCCTCCAGAGCCATTCTGGGCTATGCTCTTTATGGAACACCCAGACTTAAGAGCCTGAGATTCCCAAGGAGAATTGTCAGAGGGGTCTTGGGGACCCTGTGAGGGGACATGTTGGCTGCATATCTCTAAGGCCAGCGAGGAAGGGAGCACGACAGACTGCCCTGTACAGAGAAGGATTTAGGTGACAGTTCCACTTAGGAGCAGAGACCTGGGGCTTCTAGCTCTGGCTCACCGGAAACTGAGCAGGCACACCAGGATATGTACAGACATCATTTTGCTAAGGCACCAAATGGCATAAGGTAGGGAGAAGCCTGGCATGTATGACGCCCAGGTTCCTTCCAGCACCTCCACTAAAATCAGAAAAATAAGATCAAGTAGAGGGGGAGAAGGACCCTCTTAAGAGTCACATTACCCTACGTGCAAGACACAGCCCAGGACTGAACACTCGAATGCAGATTAGCAAACCCGCAGCTGGGCAGTGAGGTCAGGAGGCCGCCCTCTGAGGAGAGCTGAAAGCCAGTCTCTCACCTCCCCATGTGGAAGCCAGGGGAAGAAGGGGAAGGAGGAGTTACGAGCCCTATGAGCAAAGAAGGCCAAAGCACACTGCTTTCCATCTTTATTTTGTTTTGTTTGGGCATTTCTGCAGTCAGTAAAAACCTGAAAGTTACTCTGGTTCAAGTAAAGTACAAATGAATGCTTATAAGCCTACAATAAAAGTTTAAATCAAAACTGCCTTCTTTGCTAGTGCCCATCATGAGACAACTGCTCGCAACAAGCAGGTGAACATACCCCGTGTGAATTAAATGTCTACAACCGTGTGCGAGGCCCCAGCTGGTGCGATGGAAGCCACGGAAATGCTCCTGGAAATGTGAGACGAAGGGATGCTCCCTGAGACCTCTTACCGCTGCACACACTCCTTCACCACCTCATACTGGCCGATGGAGGCCGCTGTGTGAAGATCCAGGGGGACGTCCAGCTCCTCCCGGCTGACCCGTGTGCCCAGCCCGTGCCACATGGACAAGCTGCAGTTCAGGAGCTCCGGCTCGCTGGTTTCATCACTCAGCTCAGACATGGCTGTGGAGGGAGGCCCAAGGGTTAGATCTTCCTTCCAGACTGTTTCAGGGAATGAAATAGCTAGCCCTACTTCTGGCAATGGCAGGCACCATGTCACTACTCTAAAAGGCTGACAGCTGGGCTCCAGTGGCTCATGCCTGTAATTCTAGCTACTTGAGAAGCAGATATCAGGAGGATCGTTTGAAGCCAGCCCAGGGAAATAGTTCATGATACTCTACCTCGAAAAGACTCGTGATATTGGAGTGGCTCAATATCACCAAAAAAAAAAAAAAAAAAGAGGCTGATAGCCCCTGCTTGGCTGTCTTTAAACAGCAGCTGTGAGACAGAAGTGAGAAGCATCGATGGTGCATCATTAGCTGTGCTGTGTCTTCTTCAACTCACAGGCCTTCCATTCTAGAAGCGAACTCTCCAGGATACTTACAACCTCTTGGGTGGATAATAAAAAAAATGCTCACTGGTCATTGGACCTAATCAGCTCCTTGATGTGGTAGGAAATAACACTGGATTTGGGGTTAGAGGAAAATTTAGCTCTGCTACTTAGCATCACCAGTCCCAAGGTCCTCACTGTTTCATGGGGCAAAAAGATATCTCAAAGGGCTGCTGTTAAAAACACAAGGAAGCCAGGCATGGAGGTGCATACCTGTAACCCAGGCACTCAGGAGGATGAGGCAGGAGTGAGTTGGAGGCCAGCCTGAGATACATAACAAGACCCTGCCTTAAAAAAAAAAAATCTTGGCAGAATGAGTAAACAGCTAACCAGCTGACACGTACAAGAACATCTCAACATCTCAAGCACTTTTTGCCGAATGGCAGGAGCCAGTCAAAAGGCTGCCTACACTGTAATCCATTTACAGGGCATCTGGAAAAGGTAAAGTGAAGAGCTGGAGGCTGGGTCAGTGGAACCAAGAGTAAGCATCAGGGGAACCACAAAGAGGCAGCAAGAGGGAATGTGGGGGGCATACACCCATTCTATTCTACCTTCAGAGTGTTGGTGCACACCACACTTCACTTACCAAAATTTACAGACCTCAATCGCCGAAATGTGTTCTACTAGGCAAAATTTAAATATAAATTTTTTGAAAAAAATGGAAAAGTTTCCAGCACAGAAGCCAGGATGTGATCGGTGAGCAGGACTCTATCCATGCATCCCTATAAAGTAGGAGAGTGAAGGGGAATGGTGCAGGCTGGTGAACTGGTGTGGTGACAGTTTCCCCAAGCTGGGATACCACCAGATGATGAGTTTGTGGTTATGAGTCCTTCATTCTGGGAATTCTCCCCAAACCATGCCCAAGTCATTAAATTCCTAGAATTCTCAGGTCTGGGAGTGACAGAATCGAGTACAGAAAAGGAGAGAAGGAAAAAGAAAACCATGTCATGTTCAGACGGCCCAAGATACAGGAAGCTGTCAGTTCCAATAGAACTGCCCCTTCCAGCGGCTCCCTCCAGCCTCCAATGGGCGTGTTTCTTCCACGCCAAACGCCTCCTCCAGGCTGGGGCCTGGGTTCGCTTTACCCATACTGGACATCATGTCTGACACCTGCTGCGCTGACGGCCAATCAGAAACGGCCCCAGCCTCTAGAAGCCCATGCTGGGAAAACTCGCACGCCAGGGAACTCCAGATCTACGATGATGTCTCACCGTACAATATGACAATCGCTCCCGAATTATGGGGAAAGCATTAACGACACTATTCTCTTCTTGCAAATGTCTATTGTAACTGGCCTCCAAACCTTCGGGAAGCTGCAGTGGGGATGACACCCTTTAACTTTCACTCCCTCTTTTGGTCCTGTCCATTTTGTAAAATACCAAGTTACTTTAAAACTTAAAATATTTTTTTTGCAGAGGTATGGGGCTTTGAAATCAAGGCCTCACGTTTGCTAGGCAGGCACGCTATCACTTGAGCCCACGTCCCCAGCCCTTAAAATAATTAACTAGATTTTTTAAAAGAAAAAAAAAAACTGATCCTGCTGCTCATTGTCACGCCCGCAGGAGGTCGGTCACAGCCGAGGTGACAGCTACCGCCCACAGCCCTTGGCAGCCACCTCGCGTAACCAACCCTGCAGCCCAGAGTCCCGCCATCCCCAGTGCATGGCTTCAGAGCTGAGGCCCCGCGTCACCAAGCCCTGCCGCGGACAAGTGCAGGACCGGACGCCGGATCCCGGGCACAGCAGGTGCCGGGGCCACCGCCCAGCCTACCTGCTCTGGCCTCAGGCCTAACTCCAGTCTCGCTCTGGCTGCAGCCGCCGCACTCTCTAGCTGACCGCCGCCCCTGCACCCGGCCGGCGGTCCGCCCCCGGAAGTAGTCGCAGGAGCGCGCAGAGCACGCCGGGACGCAAGCGATCGCTGTGTTATTGGCCAGTCGGTGCCCTCGCCTTCAAACGAGCTCCCAGCTCGCGTGACGCCCACGGCAGCCAATGAGCAAGCACATCGCTTCACCCCTCTCCGCCCCCTCCTGCCCAGAAACCAATCCTGCCGCAGAGAGGCGGGACGAGCCAGACCGGAAGAAGTACCCGGAGAGGGACTGCCCCTTGAAGGCAGGCTATGTTAAGGGACGGGCGGCCGGGCGAGCGCGACCACGAGACGCGCTGCGCTCTTCATAGCACTGTCGGGAGCGCGCAGAGCGCAGGCAAAGGCAGCCCGGAGGCGAGTGGTGGAGGGTCTGCGCGACCGCGGAAATAAACATCAGGTGGTGGACGGGACGTGGGAATAGGACTAGGGGTGGGAGGAAGGCGCTCGGCTTTCTCTGTCCCTAGCTCTAGTATTGAAAGGATTGCCCCGCGGGCCGATGGCGTCTGGTCGCCATGACAACAACGCCGCGGGCGGGGCAGAGCCAACGGGCTGAGGCTGAAAAATGATCTGTGGACACTGCAGGATTCAGAGATGCCGAGCGCCAGGGAGAGCACGTTCAGCCCGTTTTCACTGCAGAGTCCAGCATCCGACACCTTTATCCCCAAACGAGTTGGGCATTTTTCACCCCTCTGAGCCTCTGCACACCCCTCCGATCCCCCTGCCGGTGATGCCTTTCTCTCCCCTACCGCATAGCTCAGTGATTGTGCTGCCTGGCTACTAGTAGTACTGTGCCCGGCATTGCCAAGCAGAGACCCGGTCCCAGGAGCGTGCCCACCTGCCTACCCTGGCCTCGCTGGCACAAGCACAAGAGACCTGAACCCCTCTCCTCCCTTCTCTCCCCCTCTCCTCCCCTTCTCTCCCCACCTCCGTGTCCTGCCGCTGCCTCGGGGTACGACAGCAGACCGTTTCAGAGATTCAGGGCCTAGGCCACAGGGCTCGCCAGACCCTCTCCCCACATTCCCAAGGCCCCTTGCTGCTTTCTGACAAAGGGTGGAGCTGAACCGGTGCTGGCGAATACAAGGCTATTTTGAGTGAGACTCCAAACAGATCTCTTGGGTTCTCCAAAATGTCTCTAGGCTGTTCTGTTGTGAGGGGCAGTATAGGGTGATGGGGCTTAAAGCCCACCCTCTTTCTTCCCCGCTGGGGATCAAACCCAAACCCTTGAGCACGTTAGGCAAGCTCTGTACCACTGAGCTACACCTTCAGTCCCGCTTTGATTCAAATTCTCCTCGCCATTCATTAACCTCTCTAAGCCTATAAAATGGGAATAATAGTATATCTCTGTTGTATGAGATAATATATATACATATATTCATCACTTGTATTATATGTCACCTAATATACATTGTGTACCTGTATCACTTGTATCAATACATATTTTCATATGCATATGCCATTAAATACATCACACACACATGCAGGCTCCACACTGTAGTGTACACATTCATGCACAGACACACATACAGCCCTGGCACGCAGCGACGTGATCTTTTAGTCCCAGAAGGAAATGGGTGGAGATCTGCAAATCTGTTTTCATCTGTGGCTGGTGGGAGCTTTGGAGAGGCATCCCTGATCTCTTGCCCTGGCCACTTTTCCTGTGTGTTCCACAGGGCTCCTCAAATGATGGCACACAGAGAGAGCATCCTGTAAGCCTACACCCCCATGGCATCCAAAGACGTGCCCTCGCTGGGCTCCCCCTGGGATGCCGTCCTCAAGGCTGCCAAAGACCAGCTTCCATCCCTGGACTCAGACTCCTCCTTGGTGAGCAAGCTTTCTCCTAGGCACCGACTGTCCTTCCTTCCCATGGTGGGCATGACGCTGGTCACGCAGTGTCCTCTCGGCAGGCCCCTTTCCAATCTGTGGAGCTTGTCTGCGATTTCTGCCTTCCCGCCTGATGCGAAGGTGTTTTCTGGGTTCTCACTTCCTTTTTCGTCAGATTGCGTACTCACTTTGGTGCTCAGCAGCCTCAAGGCCATGCCAGTGGTGGTCCTGGGCCCACCTGGGTCCCAAATGGGCTCAATGCTGAAATCTGGCACTTGCCACTCTGCTGCAGTGCTGTTCTCAAGTATTGGGCCAGGACTGGACCAGCACCATCGTGTAGAGTGCCTTACCAGTGCATGGTGATAGCCTGTGGAGGGCTTCCCCACTAGAGTAATCTGGGGTCACTGAGGAGGCCCCTGATGCTCAGCACCAAGGAGCCATGTGCACAGGGAGCCAGCTGATGACTCAGTGGGCTGGGGCTCCTCAGCTCCCAGGCCAGCACTGGGCATTTAGAGTGAGAGCAAAGTTTTAGAAGTGAGAGGCCAGGTTTGGGTCCCACCTGGGCATCTGTAAGGTGAATGTGACAGGGCTTCTGGGACCTCAGGGATCCAGTGCCCCATGGCAAGGCCAAGGAGCAGGTAGGGCAGTCCCAGGGCCTTGGTGCTCAGATCACTCTCGCCTCTCATGGCTAATGCTAATCCCTGTAAGGTGGCAGGTGCCTTTTGGCCTGTCTTTTAGAGGCAGGGAGGGGGCTCTCAGATACCCCCTCCCTGCCATTACTCAGCACGTGTGGTGTGTGAGATCCGTGTATGGCCGGCACCTATGGAGCACGGAGCCCTAGGTCTCATCCCCATGAGGTGGTGCTGTTGAGCCCATTTCTAAGTGGGTGGCAGGAAGCAGAGCTGAGCCTGCCCTTCTGGAGACAGCGGACCTCCCTGGGAAGCAGTGTTGCCTTACCACCAAAGACCCCTGCTCTGTCCACAGTCGGACTTCGAGGAAAAGGAGCCCTTCATCTTCCAGCGAAACCAACCCGTCCTGATTCCAGACCTGGCTGCAGAGCTGGCCGAAGACCCTGCAGCTGGAGACAAATCTGGGTCCTGGGTCCCCACATTTAAAAGTTCTCCACCAGAGGTTTGTGGACACAGGCTTTGGGGATCCGCTAAACCTGGCACATTGCGGGGGCAAAAGGGTGTGTGTGTGTGTGTGTGTGTGTGTGGTCACAGATACCTGTAGAGTCTAAATAGCAGTGTGGTTAGAACGGTTAAAACCACTGGTCAAGCATCTCTGCTACTCAGTCCTTCCTTCTTGGGAAAAGCCAAGTGTCCTGAGCACATGTGACTCCCTCTCTAGGGCACTCAACACACTTGATTTGCTGTCTAGTTTTGTCCCCTGTCCATCCTCTAGACCCCTTCTGTCCCATTTTTTTACCAAGGCACTTTGCACTGTCTGGCCCTTGTCACAGCTGCCTGTCATATATGGCTCTCCTTAACCCAGCTGGCTTCACAGCCACCATGTCTGCCAAGGCACAGAGCATTTGCTGAATTGCTAGAGGTTTTAGTGGAGAGTCAGGGGAGAAGGTGCTGTGCAAACACTGAGCAACTGGGGCAGGGGGAGGGAACCAGGGGAGATGCAGGGAACCACATCACGTCTCCCCACTCCCCAGGCCCCAGCTAAGACCAAAAGTTCTACCCCTGATAGCTTAATGCTACCTTTATAAATATAATCTGCCTGTCAGCATTCATCTGTGGACAGTCCCAACCAGTCAGACCTGTTAGGCTCTTAATGTGGTTGTGGTTAGATGTTTCCAATGAAAACTCCGTAAAGGACCAGTGGCTCACATCTCTAAACCTAGCTACTTGGGAGGCTGAGATCAGGAGGATTGCAGATCGAGGCCAGCCCAGACAAGTAGTTCACGAGACCCATCTCCAAAGTAACCAGAGCAAAATGAACTGGACGAGTGGGTCAAGCAGTACAGCACCTGCTTTGCAAGTACAGAGTTCTGAGTTCAAACCCCAGGCCTATGAAAAAGCAGATAAAACACCATAGAGGTACCGACCCACTTTCAAGGCAGGGGGCAGAGTTCCAGGAAATGCCTAGCCCCAGGATGACTTCTCTGGGCTTAGCTCTGCCCAGCATCACTAACCAGGTGAATGAGTGGGTGAGGGCTGAACTGAATCCATCATCACCACACCACCCACAGCCCAACTGGGCCAAGAAGCAGATCTGAAATAACTCCACACAGAAGGCATGTCCAGGACAGCAACTCAGGTGGCACAATTTCCATGTAACTTTACTTTGTATTTTTTTCTTTTTTTTTTTTGACAGTACTGGGTTTGAACTCAGGGCCTCATGCTTGCTAAGGCAGGTGCTCTACCACTTGAGCCATTCTGCCAGCTCTTTTTTGTGTTGGGTATTTTTGAGACTGAGTCTCAGTTTTTATTCTTTTTTTGCCCCTGGCTGGCCTTGAACCACAATCCTCCTGATCTCTGCCTCCCAAGCAAATAGGATTATAGGTGCAAGCCACTGGCACCCAGCTTTACTTTGTATTTTGTTCATTTCTACAGTGTCTTTGACAATTTTTTTGGGGCGGGGGGGGAACTGGGGTTTGAGCTCAGGGCCTCACCACTTGAGCCACAACTCCAGTCCATTTTGCTCTTTTTTTTGTTTTTGCTTATTTTGGAGATGTAGTCTCAAGAACTGTTTTCCCAGGCTGGCCTCGAACCTCGTCCTCCTGATCTCAGCCTCCCAACTAGGTAGGATTATAGGTATGAGCCACTGGCACCCAGCTGACTTTGGCAACTCATACAGGCAAATTTAATTTCATTCTTTAACTTTGGCTGGGGCTGGGGAATCGGAGTGACTGATGGATACAGACTTTCTGTGTGGAAATAACAGTAGTGGCTGTACAGTAGTGTAAGTGCTGCACAGGTCTGCACACTACACTTGGAATGGTTCAAATGGAGCCAAGCATGGTGGTACACGCCTGGGATCAGGACTCAGCAGGTGGAGGCAGGAGGGCCATGAGCTCAAAGCCGGCCTGGGACTGAGTTTGAGACCAGGCTGGACTACACTGCCAGATGCTGCCTCAAAATAAAGTGCTGGGGTGGGGGATGGCTTAAGTGGTGCTTAGCTAACAAATTAGAGGCCCTGGGTTCAATCCCCAGTACACAAAAAAAGAAAGGGTTCAAATGGAAAAGTTTATGTTATGTACATATTCTACCATGAAAAAAAATTCCCTGTGTGAGAAAAACAGTCTTTTCTATCAAAGTGTGTCGCCATCTTATCTGCTTGCAGTTCTGGGTTCTTGTTCACTGGGACTTGAACTCAGGGCCTTCACCTTGAGCCACTCCACCAGCCCTATTTTTGTGAAGGGTTTTTTGAGATAGGATCTCATGAACTATTTGTCTGGACTGGCTTCGAACCATGATCCTCCTGATCTCTGCCTCCTGAGTAGCTAGGATTATAGGCGTGAGCTGCTGGTGCTGGCTGAACTCCATTTTTGCATGGAAATTACTACCTACCCCACCCTCAAATTCCAAGGGTAGCATTAGCCAATGGCAATCAGATTGTGGACTGGAACTTGACCATTCCAAGCAAATGGGCAGGGTCCACTGCATCGGGAGTAAAATGAGGCCCTATTGCCTGCTCCTCCTGCTTGCTGTGCCCGTGTGCCTGCGCAGCCTTCTGCAGAAATAAATTTTGCCTTGCCGAGACAATTCTCCATTCCTGTGTCTTTGATTATGACTCCAGTGGTCTTATTTCTAACACCTGGAGTTTTTGCAGATGCTAACAGAGTTTATTTTCTCCATAGCAAGTCCTGGTGCCTGTGGGACTCCCCACCGAACCCAGCAGTGGACAGAATGCAAGGATGAAGGGCCCAGCTCCTCAGGGAGGAAGGGGCCCTGGCCAGCCTTCTAAGAGCTGTACTGAGATCAGCACTCTTCTTAGGATGGCCGAGGAGACACCCATGTGGCTGGAAGGTGACTTTGGGAGTCTGTCCTTAAGCACCAAAGGATCCCACAGTCCTGCCTGGGGTCCTCAGGGAGAAGCCAGCCCCTCCCCTAAAGGAGAGCCCAAGACAGAGCCCCAAGATGAGTGGAAAGACTCCACAAAGCGCAGAGCCCTCCGCCGGGAGAGGAGGAAAATGATAGAGAAAGGCATGCTCCAGAAAGTGACCTGGGATGTCCGGGATCTGGGCTGTGGTGACCAAGGCCAGGCTGCGGAGTCAGAGCCCAAGCCAGAGGTGCCTTCAGCAAGGGCCAGGGAAGGAGGGCTGGTGCCCTCACTCCAGGTAGGTGTCTCCACTGCCCACCTGCCCTCGGGCCTGTGCCCCGCAGCGAGCCATCTTCCTGCACTGGGTCTAGAACCAGCTGGCTAACCCTCGAGTACCCCAGGTGTAAGGTTCCAGGGCCATCACCTGGCAAGTGGCCATGCCTGTCCCAGTGGGTGGAGGCCTGGACAGATGCTCACCCTAGAGAGTCAATGAGAACACAGAAAAGCAGCAGACTCCAGTCTTCTTTAGAGAGTAAACAGTGCTAATGCCAAGCATGACAGCCATTTGACACTATCAAAGTGAAGTTCTCCACTTGTTCAAGGTAGATTTAGTGCATTAATGAGGGAACCAGCAGGTGATAAAGCCTAACTCCTGGGTTAGGAAAAAGGAGTCCGCAGATTCCTGCTGGATAGAAGGGGCCGTGGAGAGTAGTGCATGGCAGTGATCGGGTGCCAGCACTACTTGTGGTCTGTGGTGTCCCCCTGCCCACTGGAAGGAAAGTAAGCCATGTGCCTCCCAGTTTCACAAGGCAGTAAGGTGGGAGGGCTCTGGTCTGCTATGCAAACCAAGTTCCTTCTCTGTGGAGGTGGTCTTGTCAGCAGATGTTCCAGTTTGGCACAAAGAGGCCACACAGCCACCTTCTGTCCTGTGTAGCTTATCAATTTTCTTAACCTAGAGAAAACTGGCACCAACTTATACACAGAAGTCTTTTTCATTATTTTTTGTTTATTTAAGTTTTTTTTTTTTTTTTTTTTTTAGTACTATAGGGTTTAATTCAGATCCTCACTGTAGAACCTTGCTAGGCAGGTGTTCTACTGCTTGAGCCATGCCTCCAGCCCCCTTTTTTGCTCTGGTTATTTTTGAGATAGGGTCATGCTTTTTGTCCCAGCTGGTCTGGACTGCAATCCTCCTATTTATGCTTCCAGCAGTAGCTGGGATGACAGACACATACACAGCTTTTTCTGTTGAGATGGAGTCTTGCAAACTCTGCCCAGGCTGGCCTCAAACTGTAATCCCCCAATCTCAGCCTCCCAAGTAGCTAGGATTACAGGTGTGAGCCACCTCTTTTTCATTACTGTTTAAACAAGCCATCCATGGCTTTCTGATGACCTTTGTTTTTCCTCCTCTAGAGGGCTGCAAGTAGTTAGGTCACGTAAACATTCACTAGGGCTGGTAGAGCTCAGTGGTAGAGCACTTGCCCTGGGTGCAAGGCCCTGGGTGCCCTCAGCACCACCGTTCTAGGTTAACTTCCTGCTGTATTCACAAAGCCCTCTTGGCCAGGTTCTCCAGATGGGGCTGTCCCTGCTACAAACCTATGAATCTAAACAGTTTAAAAGAGATACAAAGTTGGGGCTGGCAGAGTTGCTCAAGCAGTAAAATCCCCTGCTTAGCAAGCATGAGGCCCTAAGATCAAGACCCAGTTTTGCCAAAAAAACAACCAACCAACCAGGGTTTCCTACAGGTTAGATAGCAGCTCTGTGACAAAAAAATTAAGTACCAACTTAAGAAAGACGTAGAAAGGAGGGACTGAGAAATGCAGATCTCACCCTAAATGAGAGGTCCAATCTGTGTTCAGTTACAGGGGACAGTGTGTCCACTTGCTGGCCTGCACTTAAACCCCAATTTCTATTTAACACCTGGTGACAGCTCTGCTGGCCATAACAGCTGTGAAGCGGTTGCCCTGCCCACAGAATCCTGCAGAAGTCTCCTAATCACTGACTTCATTGTTTCAGCATCTTGAAGAGTGGGATTTGGATTACATCCTAAAGAGTATGTCGAAACGAGAAGACAGCCCTGGACGTGGCAAACCCAGATCTGCATGGTGGTTAGCTGACAGCTGTCAAGGTCAAGGCCAAGGTCTGCCTGCCCTTCAGCACCGGAGCCTGGCAGTAACACAGGCTACAGGCCCTGCAGCCATGTTTTCCCTCCATTTGCTTAGTCCCTTGCCGTCCTGAGCACTCATGTCCTTTCAAGGTTCATTCATTCAACATACATGCCTGCCATGTGCCAGACACGTCCAGGCCCAGAGACACAAGAGGGACCCTCAAACTTGGTCCCTGCCTCTAGCCTACAGTTTTTCCTCCTTCTCACCATCCTCTTTCTTCCTGGTGGAAAGTTGATCCTGCCTCTTTTGCTCCTTTAATCTGCTCCTGCTTCCCTCACCTCCTGTGTAGAAAGGAAAGCTAAGGATGTCACCTTTGTCACTGCTCTTATGGCCTAGGCAGCTCTGCAAATAACAAGCTCCCCACCACTCAGGTTCCCAGCCACAAGGGGGCAGGTCTGAGGCCCAAGAGCAAGGGTGATACCAGTCTCCAGCCTCCAGGTCCTCAGCTGTTTTCAGCATCTGTCCGTTTATGGGATACACAGAAACAGACCCTTCTGAGGGCAGGCAGAGGGTATGTGATTGCTGCGCCCTCTGGAGGGCAGCAGGCAGAATCTACCTTCTACTTTAAAGGCTCATAACCCATTGATCAAGCTATTCCATTCTGCAAACCTCTCCTTAATGGGTAAAGATATGTACTCCAGTTTTTTTTTTAAATTATGAAATCCTACAAACAACTCAGGTTCAATAGGAGTCTTGCAAAGTCTTAGACATAGAGTGTTCTGCACTTTAACGAGGGACGTCTCTATTAATGTAGAAAAATGTAGCATATAAACTAAAACTTAAGTTGAAAGGAATCTATAGGATGACCCCACTTTTTGTGTCATGGTTGCCCATGACCTACTTCACAAGACAAGTAGCACTCCCTGCTCAAAGCTAGTGCTCTCCTAGCCCTGCAAGCTGGAGCCAGAGGCTTCAGAAAGAGCTGAGGGCAGAGGAGGGGGATGCAGCAAGCCTGAGGCACATGGAGACCCAAGGGGTCCTGAGGTTCAAGCCACTGTGAGTCAAAGCGGGCCTGTGAGGTGAGGCCAGGTCCCTACTAAGCTGCCTCCTTTTCCCTCTCTCCACAATCCTCAGAGTATAACATGCTGTGCTCCCAGGACAGGGTCCAGGATCAGCGGGCCCTGTGTGCCACACAGTCCACAGCCCGCACCTCTGCCCAGAAGGTGTCTGCCGAGACATCCCAAGACACCAAGGAGCGAGAGACCAGAAACAGGTGGGACTTCTTGCCAGCCACGGTCCCTGTCGTCTCTCTAGAACTGGCCTGGGGTGGGGGACAGCACTTGTGGGGCCTACTGCGGGCGGGGTTCT